GCCAACCACATCCAAAAACAATTCTCCCCACCCCTCCCTTCTCCCCGGGCTCAGCTCTGCTCCCCATCTCTCCCCCTCCTCCCCCAGCAGCGCAGGGGCAGGGGATGGGGGTTACAGCCAGCTCGCCGCTCCCTCCCCCTCGGGATGGGGGGTGAACACCACACACCCCTCCCCGGCTCCACGGGGCTCCCCTCTGGCTGCAGGCAGTTCTCCGTGAACCTTCCCCGCAGCGAGTCCCCCCCACAGGACACGGCCGCTCCCGAGCTGCCCTGCTGTGGGTCCCCCCCCCACGTGTTCCAGCCCTCCCAGCGCCGAACCACAACCACAGGGACCACTTCTCCCCTCAGGGTCACAGCCTATTTTTGAGCTGGGGGAGCTTTTGAGAAGCTTCTCCCAGGGGCCACCGCTGTAGCCCCCTCCCCTGCTACCAAAAATCCCAACACTCAAACCCAGCACACACTCGCGCTCGGTTCTCGCCCTGGTCCCATTCATTATACAGCTGTGGAGGTGCTGGCTGAAGATACGGGTAGGTGAGGGCAGGAGGAGATGGTGCCTGTGTCCTAAGGACCAGAGTTTACACAAACTTGAATTTCTAGTGGAAGATAGCAAATCAACTGTGTAATTTATTGAGACAACCCTGATGTTGTTCGTCCTGTGCATTTCCTATTAACTGTGCAGTGGTTCTGCTCCCAACAAATGTCAGTGATGGTTGGAAGAGGTCTCCCAGGCATCATGCATTTAGCTATCAGGTGAGAGGAGAAGATGCTCCCTCAGAACACCTCTCCTGTGGGTAACCACACGCAACCTTTGGTTTATGTGGGCAAGCACAGCTGCTCTCTTTCAGGGCCAAATACTTAAAGAAGAGCTGAGTTTACTTTTTCAGACACCATGAATTGAGAAGTGGTAGCTCTCAGAGCAGAGAACACTGATGTTTCCTGATTTCCAGCAGGTCTGTGTCATGGTGGACTCTCTGGTCTCAGAGACCCCCTCTCTATATTCGCAAGAAGCACCAAGGAAAAGCCTCCTGCCTTTGCCTGCAACCTGCTTTCACAAAGCAGGGGAGCATCTTGTCCCACCAGAGCGGTGGCCAAAAAAACTTGTTTCTTTTGGAAGCTGGGTCAGGAGACACTTGGCAGGTAGCTCAGTCAAGCCTGATCTTGAAGACACCTGGGTTCTTGGTGTCTCCCAGTTTGTCAACCTCATGGAAAGGTTCAGGAGGAGGGAAGGCCAAAAGCAGAGTTAAGATTTGGCTTCTTGATCCGCTGGCAGCCCCGATACAAGGTTTGGAGCCAATGTCTTTATTTTTTTCTCATTTCCTGGATGAGGTAAGACAAGGTGAGCTGAGCACTGAGATCATGCAGACATGGCCAAGCAGCAGAGTTCCAAGGAAATGAGAGAGCGTGGCAGTGACCTTCTTAACCATCTGGCTGGCAGAGGCTGCATGGCTCTTCTTTGGAGACACTGCTGGGTCATTTATTGGCTTGCTTGGAGCGTTGGTTTGGGGCAGAATTAAGTAAGAAGTTCCTCTCCCAAACCTCGCTTCTTTGCTCTAGACTATTGCAAGAAATGCTTACGAGTGTCTCTAAATTGTCCCTGCTGTGGGGCCCAGCATTCAGGTGTGAGTGTGTCGTGATGATGATTGGATTATCTCTTAAATATATTTGGTTTACAATGATGAGGTTAAAACCGCGAGAATAAAATCAGTAGGACAGCCCAGCATCTGATTAAATCCTGTCCACTGCTTATCTCTCCCAATGGTCTTGCAGTACATGCTCTTTCTAGATGAAGTCTCTCCAGGGTTTGCTCTCGGGCCATTGGTGCTTATTTTGGGTCGGGCCTTTGCTCCATTTGATTGTGCTTCAGCTCTGGCTTCCCAAGCCATGTCCCAGCCGGTGGATGATTAAGTGGGAAGTCGGTGTGTCCTGCTGAACAGCCCGTTCCTGGCCAAGCAAGCTGCCAGCCCAGCCATCCGCCACGTGCTTGCATTTCCCTCTGTCTTTTTTTACTTTCAGTGTAACTGTTGACAAGAATTTGAGTCGGCATGTGGCAGGCAGTTGCTCAGGGTTAGGAAGAGTTTACCTGCAAGATTATTAACATTGCAGGAAAACCAGAAGGATTTGGTACTGTCTGGAGCTCCTGACGGGTAGGAGAGGTCTGACAGTGTTGCCGAATTGCAAAAATGCCCTCAGTGATGCTTTCCCAAGGTCCGGAAGATGCCAGTGTGCAAAATAAAAGCTGAGACACACGCACAGTGGAGATTTACAGCACAGCAACATGTACTTCTAACATAACAATCTCGTTACGTCAGCCATGTAGGAATGTGTTAGTTCCTGCATCTTGAGGCACGAGGCACAGACGTTATCATAGTTCATCTCCTGCAGGACAGATCCAGCAGATCAACATTTTGCAGAAGCAAGTGTGTGGCTGGAGTTCCTACTGATGCAGAGGGCGTGAAAGAGATTTGAAGCGTTCAGGTTCATTTCTCCATGCAGAGATAACAGTCTTGTCTGTTGTGGTTTACAAACAAATTGCAGAATACCTGCTTTATGTTTTTTTGGAGTGCTACGCTTGAGTGTGTGACCACCGGGCAGGCGTTACGCTGCAGCAGGGGAGGTTTTGCTGCAGGGCTGAGTGGTGGCAGGCTGTTGGAAAGGTGAGTCTGGGCACTCGTGCTTTGCCGAGGGTCCTTGGCCAGGTGACAAGTAATTTCAGAGCGGTGCCACAGCTCAACCAGAAGTAAACACAGCAGACACACCCCCGTGTGTCTTGGGAGAAGGGATTATTTTGTCAGCTGGATCTTCTGTGTGTGCTCATTTAGTCTCACTGCCGAAGCCTGAACCCCTGGGGATGGGTGAAAATTAAACCGTGGTAGTGCTGTCTCACCTTCGCAAGCTCAAAACGTTCAAAAAGACTTTTGACAGCCCCCTGCAAAAAAACCGAAACAGAACAAAACACAAACACTAAATCTTGAGCTACTTATCTTTTATTTTCTTGAGTCACCAGGATATGTTGGGCTCGCTCGTTTTTTTCAGGGTCGGGTCTCAAGAGATTTTTTTTGTTTGTTTTTGTTCTGCTGTGGTACCCAGGGTCTGTGTTTCAGACAGTTTCTTGTCTGTCCACCACACTCCAACCCCCAAGTAATTGATTCCACCCTTTGAAACGGTTGTGGAAGGGGAAAGCCATGTCAGGGACCTGCTCTGGTGGCTACAGCAATGCAAATAGGAAGGAAGAGTCTTGGAGCGAGAAGCAGTGCTGCTGGAGGTGGTCAAGACAACAGCCCTGAAAACCTTTTTAGGCCAGGACTTTTCATCAAGGTGGTGGCACGGAGTGGGAATCGGTCACCTTGGGCCAGCTCTGGAGCAACTCCTTCTCCCTCCCAGAGCTTCTCCCAGCGCAATCTCACAGTCGTGGTGCCAACGTTGAAGTTTGCTGAGACACCTTTGGAGGTTAGACTTATGACCATTAATATGGTTATTTTGGACACAGCTGTTCTCACCAGTCCCTTAAAATGTTCTGGAGTGGGGTAGCTGTTCAGTGTGCCCACAGGCGATTGCAGATAGCAAATTTGCAGACACAGGCTAATTTTGAAGCCTTTCACTAAAATTGAATTGAAAATGGGCATGAAATTCTGAGTGTAGTTATAAATTGCTGTGGTGGGAGATTGGTCTCTGCTGGGATGCTGGCCTCTGAAAGATAATAAAAACAGGTGAGGAGGGTATTTTTTCTCTTCTGTTACGGAATAATTCTCGGCCAGATTTCTGTGCAGGCAGAGACCTCCGTTGCATACAAAATACCAAGTGTCCAATGAATGCTTATGCCTCTCCTGAATCATGTTAAAGTGTTAATGGCCCAGCAAGCAGAGGGGAAAAAAAAAATCAGGCTATTTTGCTAATGAGTTTAAAAGTGACCTTTTACTTTATTGTTTCTCCCATTCCTCTTTTTTTGTGGTCAAAATTATTTTCTTGGACACATGAAGGATGATCACTTCCCTGCTGTGACTTCAAACACAGAAATATTTATATAGCGAGATGTAAATCATGCAAAGCCCAGAGCCACTCTTGTACTGAGGATACAAAATGGGTAAACCTAGAGTTGTGAAGAATCTGGCTGGAGCAAAAGTATTTATATCCTCTCTCCTTCTGGAGACTTTTCCTTCGGTTGCCTGAGTTGGAAACGTAATCCTCTCAATGAATAAGGTGTTGTAGATATTTTATGTGCGAGAAGTCTTTGTCGAAGTACCATTGCATGGCACAGACAGTCTGTTGAACCTGCGTCTCAGCGGAGGGGCTGGGGCCGCTCTGCCCGCAGCCGGTCAATGTTGGGAAGCACCAAAATTCAGGCCTCTGGCTCAGCATCGTGCTGGTCCCTTGTTTGCACTGGGAAGTGCATGCACACACATCAGGTGGTGTTTCTTCTGCCTCCCATCCCACCGTCTTCCCCGGCTGGGTCCCGGGCTCGCTCAGCTCAGCCCTGCTATGTGACTGTTTCTTGCCCCAGCTGCAATTATTAGCAGCCGTGTTACGTTAAACACGGCAAGTAAATTAGCACCTTAAGTTGCTTTTGTTTTGCAAGCGTAATTAAAATAATAGGCGAGTCTGCCTGTATTTGAAAATGCTGAAGAGGCAGGGAGTGTGCTGCCCATATCTCTGTGTGGACTCCGGGTCCTCCCCTGCATCAGTCACCTGGCAGTGCTCCTGCAGCAAAGCACATCAGCTTCTGCCGCTGCCGGCAGTGACGGACACGAAGGCATTGCTGCCAGAAGCACTCTGAACAGAGGAAAATGCTCCCTTCAAAAACTAAGCCCATGCCGTTCAGACCAGAAACCCATCTCACACCAAAGAACCAAATTGCCAAAGTTTGCTGCAATGGCTCATGTGGATTTTTAATGAATTTGCATTTCTCTCCCTTATATTAGTCCCAGCTGAGATTTTCTTTTGTACGGAGAGCAACAAGGTAACAAAAGTGTTTTGTTTTGTTTTGTTTTATTTTGTTTTCATCAGGGATCAACCAATGTGGTTTACCAAGCCCATCATGTCAGCAGGAGTAAGAGAGGCCAAGTCGTCGGTACCAGGGGTGGATTTCGCGGCTGCACGGTTTGGCTAACAGGTATTTTTGTCAGGGCGTGAAACCCACTTGCACACAGGAGTATGGCTCAGAGGTGTGGATTTGGGATCCACAGGAAATGTCAGCGTTCCTTATGAGCTGGGAATTGCAAAACATGTACACGTGGGAAACGCCAACACGTGGTGCTGGCGCAGCCAGACATTCTCCCTGGCAGCTGCTGCCCGTAACTAATGTTTTTATGAATTTCACAGCTGTTGTCGAGCTCCTTTGAACACGTCGGAAGCCCTGAGGGTCACACTTGTTGTTCCCAAGTGTGTGGCTGAGAGAAGCCTTGGCTCAAATCCAGCCAGTCCTTGGCAGTGAAACGTACCCAGGGTTGTCCAAAACAGCGTGCGAATCCTTTCACTCTGGGTTGGTGGGAACTTTATTGGGACGCGTAGGTTTACTGTGTTTGAAGTGACCTCATGAGCAGCACAACAAGGCAGTCATCTTCTCTGAATAAGAAACACTCCCAGGCAGGGAGTCCCACTGGAAGCAATTCCTTGCGTGGCCATTGCGGGTTACTTACATGGTTTCTTGTTTTGTATGCCTTCTGAGGTGTTGCCCTTCTCTTCTGCCTTGAAAGATAAACTCATTGTTTGGGGATTAGGGGCTGCTGGAAATGACAGTTGCATCTCTTTTGCTCCACTAATATTTACACAACTCTACCTTTTGACACTTGCCCAGTTGTTTCTTTGCTTATTAAATATTGGTATTTTCCTTGACTACTGGAAGAGGTTGAAAGATGTACTTGGAAGGGTTTATAAAGCCATTCTTATTTGCCTTCATATCAGTTTATGTGCTGGACGTTGGATTAAAACACATTTCTGTTTTGTTCTCCTCTTCAATTTTGAAAAGCAGTTCAGCGCCTAATCTGCTTTAATATAATTTCTGAAGCCAAAAAACTACCCAAGGCAATTTTCTTCTTTTTCGAATATCACTCAGAAATCTTGTGTCTGAAAGGTTTGAGCTTCTCTGACTGACGATTATTCTTTGAAATAGACAGCCGTCTCCTAACTTTCTATCAATTTAACGAGGCTCTGTGTAAGGACATTTCATTGCATGGACTGTAGGGATTAGATGGAAGGGCATTTGAATGCCCTACGTTGCCAGCTTGGGAGAGCTATCAGTTAGGTCTGTTGTACTACAAAAAAACCCCAAAGGCACAGCCAGCAGGATTCACCCCTGCCCAAGCCAGGTTTCTTCTCCAGCACAGACAGGGCTGTTCTGCATGAGACCAAAAGTCCACCTTGCCCAGGGTGTTGTCTCCATGACTGGTCAGTAGTAGGTGTCATGCAAAGGGTATAAAAACAAGTGAGCAGATGATGCTATCTCCACAGGAGATTCTCCGAGGTTAAGTGTTCCCTGAAACAGCTGTGGTGTTCAGAGGTGGAACACTCTCCTAAGTCAAAGTTCCCTTCCATCTCAAGGAGTTTTCAACACATGGATCCCTGCCTGAGGGAAAGGAGGAGTTTGGTGTTCCAGGTGCACTGGTCGCTTTCCGACACAGCCAGTAGCAAGCGCTTTTTGTGGCGGTGGCTGGAGCTGGGATGGGAAGCAGCCACCCCATTTTGGATTGTTGTCTTTCTGGCTGATGGCTGCAGGAGATGTGGTCAGCTGAAAATGCACTGCTTGTCTACACAGCCATCCTGCTCCTGCTCACATGGATTCTGTGGGTGCTGCTTCTGCAGAAGGAGGTGTTTGTGCCTACAGGGGGGTGACTGCTGCTGCTGGAGCCTGTGTGTGTCCCCCCCTCCAGATGCAGCAAGAACCTCTCCTGGGGTTCAGTCTGGGAGAGCAGTTGGCTGTTCAGAGGGGGAACAGGAGGACGAAAATGAAGATGCCAAGAGACTTACAGGCAACAGCATCCTTTTAAGCTTCTCCTACTTACTGGTACCTATTTGTCTCCCCATGGCTCAGCAAGAGGTACTTTTGCAACACTGCTGGGTCGAAACCCTCCAGATGTTGGGATATAGCAGCTTTTCTGATGGCATCAATGCCACCCCTTCAAGAAGAAGGGTTGGCCAGGGTTCTGTGGTTGTAACTGTTTGCTAAGAAGATGAATCCAACTTCCCTACCTCGTTCCTTCCTTAAAGCAACTTCAGACAGGTGGTGTTCATCGCCAACGTCCCGGGACATATTGCGCCACACTGTCATTTTCACTCTTTCGACCTCAAACCCAAACTTCGCTTTTCTGTCTCCCTCCAGGCCTTTCTGGAGCTGGCAAGACTACCATTGGCTTTGCTCTGGAAGAGTACTTGGTCTCTCATGGCATCCCTTGCTATTCCCTGGATGGTGATAATGTTCGGCATGGCTTGAATAAAAACCTGGGTTTCTCGGCTGGGGACCGCGAGGAGAACATCCGCCGCATCGCAGAAGTGGCCAGGCTGTTTGCTGATGCTGGCCTCGTCTGCATAACTAGTTTCATTTCTCCTTTCACAAAGGTAAACTCACTGCGTCGTATTCTGCTCTTTCCTGGGCAGCCTTGATCTCATGATTGTACTTAGGGAAGAGAGATTTACATAGAGGACTTCCTATATATGCCATCAGATGCTCCTTTTAACTTCCCTGTTCTTTTGTAAAACACCACTGACACACAATCCGTACAAATTTCTAAAGGGCAGTTTGACATGACCTCTTTGAATATATCCAGTATTACAAATTGCTTAAAATCTAGGAGCAGTTTAAAATCTCTTTACAGAGGTTCCTACCATTAACTTACTAGGAGGTAGAAAAGAGGCATGGAAGCAGTAGCCTGTCATGGTGCTATCACTGCTCTGTTTGTAGAAGTATTGATTGTGTTTTTATGCTTCGTGAGAATACCAAGTAGCTGACGTTACCAAGCTGATGCAAGCAGTTCCTTTTTTCAACACAGGACAGATAATTATTCATGTTCTAAAGTCCTGCTGTCCTGGTTAATGAAGAGATCTTCTCAATATTTCAGATGGAAAAAAATGAAAACATATCAAAGTTCTGTGGTTTTTTTTGTTTTGGTTTGGGTTTTTTTTTGTGTTGTTTTTTTTTTTTTTTTTTTAAAGTATCTTTAAAGAAAAGTGAGGAAGGGAGATGAAAAACCCTCACTAGAATCAGTGTAAATTTAGTAAAACTAGACCAGAGATGAATTTACCTGTGTCGAATTCCAGGACGTGTCATGTAGTAGGAAGGTGCTTGCTGCAATCCGGACACTGATGATTCTCCTGTCTTTTTTCTAACAGGATCGTCAAAATGCACGGAAAATTCATGAGGCAGCTGGACTTCCTTTCTTTGAAATCTTTGTAGATGCTCCTCTAAATATTTGTGAAAGCAGAGATGTGAAGGGCCTGTACAAAAAGGCAAGAGCTGGAGAGATCAAAGGTATGGAAGAGCAAGCTCTTACTTTGCCTTTTGCTTTCTGAAGCATTGGATAGCTGCTTGTTGCGGCTCTGCACGGAGAGGTGGGTTACTCAAAGCTTTTTGTAGTGCCCAAGGGTATCCTGTTTCCCTCATTTTGCTGTTCCAAGTGTCACTTGTAGTACCCAGTGTGGTTGGATAGTTTCTGGTTGTTTGCACAGCTTTGTTGGCTCTAAGGCACCGAGTGTTAGATTAAATACATTTACTCCGGGTTTAATTGTCCATAGGATTCACAGGGATTGACTCAGAGTATGAGAAGCCCGAGTCTCCTGAACTGGTCTTGAAAACGAATGTTGCGTCAGTGTCTGAATGTATTCAGCAGGTTGTGGAGCTCCTCCAAACACAAGTAGGTCACTTTTATGCCACCGCCGGCTTGTAAACCTGCTTTCGGAGTTCTTGGTGTGCGTTTAGAAACCAGCACGTTACGACACTTGCTGCCTGTCTCTCTCTTTCAGAACATCGTGCCCCATGGCTCGATTAAGGATGTTCTCGAGCTGTTTGTACCTGAAAATAAACTCGATAGTGTCCGGGCTGAAGCAGAGATGCTGCCATCCGTCGAGATCACTAAGGTATTGTCGTGCGTGGGCGCTGTGCTGTGCATCGCTCATTATTGAACTGTTTGAAGGGTAGAAGCTTCGACGGGGATGTTGCTGGGGGGGGGCTCTGTTACTCTGATGGCTGGGTCCTTGTGTGGCTGTGGTTTCTGGCAAGCTGAACCGTGCTCCTGACGCTCAGCCATTTTCTGCCGTGTCTCCACCCCGTGCTGTAGCAAGCCAGGGCCATCAGTCTCCTTCGTCGCGTTAGAACAGTCCTGCAAGCAGTCGTGCTATGAAAGTACCTGAGTCTGGATGAAAAAAAAAAACCCAAACCAACCCCCGCCCTCTGGCTTTCTCCCCCTTTATGAGCGCCCTATATCTGAAGCAAAACAAATGAGAAAGCTGGTGCAGCAGAAGGGAAGGAAAAGCAACCTCTGAGCGTGCCCTGGTGACAGGAGTGCCATTTGGGTTTGTTTTGCAGCTGGATCTGCAGTGGGTGCAGGTGCTGAGCGAAGGCTGGGCCACTCCGCTGACCGGCTTCATGCGTGAGGCAGAGTACTTGCAAGTGATCCATTTTGGCACCCTGCTGAATGGTACGAATCCCCACGCTTTGTGTTAACGTGCTGCTCGCCCCGTGGCGCCTCGGCCGGCAGCCGGACAGAAAAGCTTCATGCTCGGCCCCGCGCCGTCGTCCTCCTTTCCTCCCGCCCGTTAAATGCGAGGGCTCATAAAGCACCACCGGGGCCGGGAAGCCACGCTCCGAAATGCACCAAAGGGTATGAAAGGGGACAGAGATCCCCGTGCTGCAGCTCTGGGGGGGGGGGGCCCTGGCTCGCAGCTTTGACGTCTCACACGGCGCCCATCAAACGTTTCGGGAGGCGTTGTTTAGCTCTTTTCATGCTTGGTTAGACCAGGGTAAATAAAGATGCAAACCCAGAGCCAAGTAAGCAGGGAGGCTGCCGGGCTGAATTTGAGGTGGGAGGAGAAGGCAGCTGCTCCTTGGAAACAGGAACAGCACCTGATTTCACTTTCCCACCTCCCCCCCCCCCCCCCCCCCTTCCCTGTTTTCCTGCTTATCCCTTACCAAAACTTGAAACGAATCAGATTTCTCTATTCATTAGCAACGTGACAGAGGTGCTTCGTCCCTGGAAAAGGGAAAGAGTATTTAGGCAGTGATCATCCGCGGCTGAGACCGGGGCAGTAGATGTTTCTGTCCTGTTTCTCAGCTGTACCTGCCGTCACTCTGCCTTCCCGTGCACTCAGGGCACTCCCTTTCAGTTTTGTAGACCCGATAGCATCTCTGGCCTGGAGATCTGGGACGTCGGCGAGTGAGTCCCTTTGAGTCTTGCCCTCCTTCTGGAGGACCCCATGGCTGTGCTGCCGTTATTAGGATTCGGGCACCGTGCAGCAGAGGCGGAGCTCCGGACTGCTTGCTTTGGACCGGAGGAGTGTCTGTGCGAGGGCTTCTGCTTTCAGACACGTCGTAGCCTTTTGCGTCCCGCCTAGTGTGCAAACAGTGTTCAGAAGCACCTGTCCTTGTTCCCAGCCCCCGAGCTGTGGTCTTTGAGCTGCCTGTAGTGCCCGACGAGGTCGCGGAGGTGCCGTGTAACCACCGCGTCGCTCCAGAGCTCCGCACTTCGCGCCCCAGGCTTGTCTTAAAGAGCATCTGTTAGTGGGGTGCCCCCCGCCCCGGCTCCAGACCTGTCGGCATCACTCAGCACAGCTCCTCTGGTGTCCGTGGCCGTACACTGAGGGTTTGGAATGCTCCCTGGGGTCGGGGACAAAGCCCAAGACACTGGCTTTTGGGGGGGGGACGGGACGAAGTCTCCAGAGCAAGGTCCTTGTAGGAGAGGGCAGCAACACCAGGCCCCGGTCCTCCTTGTCGCCGCAGAGGGCTCCGTGCTTGGCACCTGCGTGCTCAAGCCCGCGGGGTAACACCTGGGCAGGACGGAGAACATCCCTGCTTTGCTCGGGTGAGCTTTAGGAAACAGGGGAGGGTTTCCATCCCGTGGTGCCAAGGCTGGGGTGCAGCATTGCCAAAGAGAGGTTTGAGGCTGGTCTTTCCAGACTCATTGGTCCAAGCCTTTTGCTCCGGGGTGCGGGTGACCTTTTTTTTTTGGCTGTGCCCGGAAGGGCTACAGTTGTTCCGGTGGAGTTGTGCAAGCCAACGCTCCTCTCGCTCGGGCTTTGAGCGGTAAATCCCACCTCGGTGCTACCAAGAGTTGGGTGCGTGAGCCGTTTTGAGTAGAGCCACCGGGAAGAAAGCCGGGTCTGTGCGTAGCAGGGGTCCGGGCTCCGTCGGGTGCCCCTCTCGGGGCCGGGTGACGGGGGGAGCGTGGGTGCCATCCGTCGCTGCCGGCCAGCGCGGCGGGGCTGGGCAGCACCCGGGGGGGGGCACGGGCACCCCAACCGCCCTGCGGCGTCAGCGGCTTCGGGTCTTCAAACAGCTGCTGCAACGCGGGTGCCCGGGAGTGTTAATTATCTTAATTGTGTTTGTGTTCTCCCAGGAAGGAATCGCTCTGTAGCTGGTATGTATGTAACCGTTCTTAGGTTGTATGGCAATCACTTCAATTTAGGTTTTTTTTTTTGGCTAGAAAGTAATTTCTTGAGATTTACAAAAAAAAAAAAAAAAAGAAAATTATTAAGACTAGACACAACCGTGGCCTGTTTACGATTCAGCCAGTTGCGAAGTGGAATGACACACCCCGTGTCCTACTGACTGGTCGTCACAAAGATCCCAGCCATGTAATTTTGGAATTACCTCTGCTGGAATGATTTTTTTTTTTTTTAAACTTTCATCTTGCATTTGGAAATGGAACATGGAAATCCTCAGCTTCAGCAATCATTTGGTGGTTGCATAATTCAGCTTTTTCCATGCTGACTTTATCGACTGATCACCAGTTAATATAATTTAAATGTACGAAGTTGATATTGATTGGATCCCGTGTGACTGTAGTTACGATTATTCATGAAGGCGCTTGAAAATTGCTGTCTGGCAGACGAATGATACCTAGTCGTGAATTAAAAGTAAATGCAAACGTTTTAATAAAGATTAAAAAAAATAATAATCTATGTCGTAGTCAAAATCCTCAAATTAAGACTCTCGAGGATCCAAAATTATTTTGGTCAGATCGGAACAAATTGAATCAGTGATTTGTTCGTTCTTGTTTGTGAATGGAAACCCGTGTGAGAGGCTGATTCTTCTATATTAATCCTGGGATATCCGAGGAGGAATGGGAGGCCCTCAGTGGAGGGCTGGGAAATTGGGGGAGCGGGAATAAAACCAACATGACTTCAAAGTATTTAGGGACAATGCTGAAATGAGAAACTACACTTGCAACAGTAGACTCACTGCATATACAGAGAAAATAAATGAAAAATGGACTCTGCAGAGATGTAAAGGAGGAGGAGTAACAGTGTAGAGATAGACAGAAAAAAAAAAAAAACAGAAACAAAGCGAAGGGTGACGGTGTTTTCCCTGTTGGAAGAGGCAGTTCAGGAGGTCTGCAGGGGAGGAGATGCCCTGGGGAACACCGAGCTGGAGCCTTCTTAATAGAGGTGGTTCTCCTGTCAGAGGAGGTAGAGGTTATACCCAAGGTGGCATATTCCAAGGATGTTTACATTTTTCCAAGAGACTTCACAACAAGCTAACTGGAGAAGAACCAATCTTTCCGGGGCGCTAGAGTCCAGAAAGCAATGATGAAATGCTCCGGGTGTCTTTGAGGCATCTCTGGCCTGAAGACGGGGAGCTTGAGTATTCCAGTAACGTTGCCAGTCATTAGCGGTGCAGAAAAAAAGGGGGCGGTGACTGAATTTACATGACTGATGGTGAATCCCTGAGCTAGTCCTGGAAAATTTGTCTCTCCCTCTGTCTACTCGACGCCCGAGACGAGTGCCTGAGGCTGGAGGCTGGCTGTTCAGATCCCACCTCTCACCCCCTCCTTTTTCTTGCCAGACGGTGTGGTCAACCTGAGCATCCCCATCGTGCTGCCCATCTCCACGGAGGACAAGAAGCGCCTGGAGGGCTGCGAGGCGCTGGCGCTCAGCTACGCGGGGCGGAGGGTGGCGGTCCTGCGGAGCCCCGAGTACTTCGAGCACAGGAAGGAGGAGCGCTGCGCCCGCGTCTGGGGCACCACCTGCGCCAAGCACCCGCACGTCAAAGTAGGTTTGTCCCCCTGCTGCCGGAGGAAACCTGGGGCCGGAGAGCCAGAACCTCCGCGAGGTTTTGAGCTCCGCGGGTGTCCTGTCTGCTCCGCGAGCCCAGCTCCTTCCCGTTGGGTCCCAAGCAGGCAGGAAAGAGTTTCGAGGCTCGCCAGTCAATGCTGCGCTTTGCCGCTTAGCAAATCAGAGAACAGGCACGAGGTGAAAGGGAAAATGAGCAGGCTGCTGAGGAGCCGCTCCTTCCGTCCGCTTGTCTCCACCGGTGTGCCGGCATCCAAACGTCTTCAGCGCGAGCACCGACTCAGCCCCCAGAGTTTTCGGGCGCTTGGGGTGCGATGGGCTCGGCGATGCCGCCAAACGCTGATGCTGCAGATTGCTGACCCGTGCTCCTTTTAGCTACGTTTTACTCCTCGATTTCTCTGTTCTGTACAGGCAGCCAACGCGGGTGTTGTATTTTTACAGCTTCTGTCTTCCCACTTACTCTCTGGCGATACAGAGAGCGTCACCCCTTAGAAAGGGAGAGCTCCCGGTTCCACCGAGTGACTTGAGCCGTCTGCTTAAAAAGGCTAAAGCTGTGTTAATCCTTTCCCCCTACCTTAAAACACCTCTTTTAATTATTCGGCAGGAGTTGCTCACCTTGCAGCAGGCTTATTCCTCTGGCATATTCCCAGGAGGAAAGAGCAAAGGATGAGGTGGTAGAAGAAGGTCTCGTGCCCTAACTTGTAGACCCCCGGCCGCCCGGGGAGGGACTCGGTTGGCTGACGTCTCGCTGTGCGCCGTTGAGCTGCTCGCGGCGTTCAGTTCACGCGGTCCCTGTGAGAACGTTTTCCCCCCCTACAATGGGCTGAAGGAGAAGGGAGGAGCGCCCTGCAAGTGGGGCCGTGTCTAACGCTTCCCAAAGGAGCCCGGGAAAGGGAAGAGGAGATATTTTGCTGTCCCCTCCGTAATGCGGGCGCGCGTAATTCACAGATGGTGGTGGAGAGCGGAGACTGGCTGGTGGGTGGAGACCTCCTGGTGCTGGAGAAGATCAAGTGGAACGACGGGCTGGACCAGTACCGCCTGACACCGCTCGCTCTCAAGCAGAAGTTCAGAGAAATGAACGCTGGTGAGTGCCCCGGGTGGCACCGCTGACACAGCTCTCCTTGCCCTACCTGGCACCGGGAGATTTGTGTGATCTGGGATTGCTCGTTCTCAAGCTCACCCCGCTTGCCAAACCGCTTCGCCGTGCTCCCAAAGGTGGGGGCATCCGGGCGGGGTGAACGGTGAGGGGGAGGGAGGGCACGGCACGAAAAGTGCCCCGGGCTGGCAGGCGTCAGGCGCCTACCCTCACTTTGGGGAGAGAACGTTGGAGCTTCCAGAAGGTGCCGTTGAGCTCGGAGAGGCGGCCGGTCACTTGAGAAGGCAACTCAGAGGTGTCCAGTGACACGTCAGACCTTTGTAGGAGAGCTGACAGGACGGAAATCATCCCCAAAGGAGGGATGTGCAATGACAGTAAACTCGGCAGAGCGATGAAGAGGCACCGTACGTGTACGAAACATCAACGGGGTTTAAGGCCTCTCTCCCGTGAAGACAGGACACGCATCTCACGCCATACTTACCTCATGACTGGGTCAAAATGTATTTTACGTAAACGTAAGGCTCTGACGTCAGCGCAGGCCTGTGACCCTCTGAACCTTTCCCTTTCAGATGCCGTCTTCGCGTTTCAGCTGCGCAACCCCGTCCACAACGGGCACGCCCTGCTCATGCAGGACACGCGGCGCCAGCTTTTGGAGAGGGGTTACAAAAACCCCGTGCTTCTCCTGCACCCCCTGGGAGGGTGGACCAAAGACGACGACGTCCCGCTGGAGTGGCGGATGAAGCAGCACGCGGCGGTGCTGGAGGAGCAAGTCCTGGACCCCAAGTCGACCATCGTTGCCATCTTCCCCTCTCCCATGCTCTACGCCGGCCCCACGGAGGTAACGTCGGCTGGTTTGCAAGCGGTAGACGCGGAACCTCCCCCGAAGGAGGAGGAAGGAGAGGGCTGCGTGGGCAGCCGTCGCCTCTGCGGGCTCACGGGCCGGCGGCCGTGGTCTCTGCATGTTCAAAAAGCCAACGGCTGCCTCCGTTGGCCACCACATTGGAACGAGAGCCGTTCCCATCCCCTCTGGTTCCCTTGAAATACACGTCCCGAGGAGCTGGGATGGCTTCAAGCAGGGGAAGATCAGTCTGGGCAGCTAGATTGCTGTGGGAAACTGCAGCAAGGCTGCTGACACTCCCCTCCCTCCTTCCCTCCTTCCCTCCTTCCCTCCTTCCCTCCTTCCCTCCTTCCCTCCTTCCCTCCCTCCCTCCCTCCCTCCCTCCCTCCCTCCCTCCCTCCCTCCCTCCCTCCCTCCCTCCCTCCCTCCCTCTTTCCTTCCCTCCCTCCTTCCCTCCCTCCCTCCCTCCCTCCCTCCCTCCCTCCCTCCCTCCCTCCCTCCCTCCCTCCCTCCCTCCTTCCCTCCTTCCCTCCCTCCCTCCTTCCTTCCCTCCCTCCTTCCCTCCCTCTTTCCTTTCCTCCTTCCCTCCCTCCTTCCTTCCTTCCTTCCTTCCTTCCTTCCTTCCTTCCTTCCTTCCTTCCTTCCTTCCTTCCTTCCTTCCTTCCTTCCTTCCTTCCTTCCTTCCTTCCTTCCTTCCTTCCTTCCTTCCTTCCTTCCTTCCTTCCTTCCTTCCTTCCTTCCTTCCTTCCTTCCTTCCTTCCTTCCTTCCTTCCTTCCTTCCTTCCTTCCTTCCTTCCTTCCTTCCTTCCTTCCTTCCTGCCTTCCTGCCTTCCTGCCTTCCTGCCTTCCTTCCTTCCCTCCCTCCTTCCTTCCCTCCTGCCTGCCTGCCTGCCTTCCTCCCCCCCTCCCTCCCTCCCTCCCGCCTTCCTTCCTGCCCCCCTCCCTTCCCTCCCTCCCCCCCCTCCCACCACTGCTCCAGCCCTCAGCCGCTGCTGCTCGTCTCTCCCCTGTGCAGGTGCAGTGGCACTGCCGCGCTCGCATGATTGCTGGGGCCAATTTTTACATCGTGGGGCGCGACCCCGCAGGCATGCCTCACCCCGAGACCAAGAAGGACCTCTACGAGCCCACGCAGGGAGGGAAGGTCCTCAGCATGGCGCCGGGCCTCACCTCGGTGGAAATCATCCCCTTCCGGGTGGCTGCTTACAATAAATCCAAACGGGCCATGGATTTCTATGACCCCCAAAGGTAACGCGGGCAGCAGCGTCGCTGTTTCTTCAGCCGGCGCAGCGGACGCGGTTTGTGATCGCTTCTGGCTTGCAGCTTGCCAGGGGAGAGGGAACAGCGGTCGCTGTTCTTCTTAAGGCGAGGAACGGGGGAAAGAACCTGTGAGAGCCACCTGCTTTCCCCTCCAGGTGCTGCCGTCGGGTCAAAGGCAGGTCGTATGAAACTAAAGATGCACCTTTGTAGCCGCCAGGATAAGAAGCACACTTTGGGGACAGTGTGGCAGTAGAAATAAAACCTCGCGCAGCTGACGTGGGTCGTGGACGACTCCGGCTCCTCTCGAAAGAGGAAACCCCGTTGCCGCCGATCGTAAACGGGGGCGTGCCGCCGCGCTCGGGGGGTGCCCGTGCCGTGCCGGGAGGCGTCCGGCCTCGTGCTCTGCCTTTCCCGGCCACCTGTGCTGATTTCCCCCCTGTCTCTGCTTTGCGCAGGCACAACGAGTTTGACTTCATCTCGGGAACGCGCATGAGGAAGCTTGCTCGAGAGGGTGAAAACCCACCAGATGGCTTCATGGCCCCCAAAGCTTGGAAAGTCCTAACCGAGTACTACCAGTCACTGGAAAAAAAGAATTAACACTACTCCTCCCCCCCCCCCCCCCCCCTAGAAATACTTGTATTAAGAGTGAGCGATGATTGATTGATTTCCTACAACACAGATCAGTTACTTGGCATTTCCAGCGCTCTGACTGTAGGATTTCCCTGCCCGGGTCAGAGTGGTTTTTTTCCGAATCAGAAATACTTCGAGCCTGCTCCTTCTGCCCCTGAAGCTGCCGGGCGCGTCCCCGTGGAGCCGGGAGGGAAGGGCAGCGGGCCCCTCATTCCCAGCCGAGCGCTGCCCCCGGTTGGGCCTAGCTGGGTCATTTTGGTGCCGCCGGGACCTCGGCACCAGGATAAAAACGCGCCCGTCGCCTGCGCGGAGCAGAAACGGAGAAGTGCCTTTCCACTACCCCTCGCTCGGCGCTGCCCCCAGGGGCAGGAGCAGCTGCTGCTGCTGCTGAGGTGGGAGAGGGAAGTGGGCGCTCGCTGCTCAGCTCCAGTCGCTGCCCTTCGGGTTGTGCCTTCGATTTTGCTGACAGCGGGATTTTTTTAAAAGGATTTTGTTTTAATGAGCCTTAACCAGCACCAGTCCCTCGTGGCCGAGACGATCCCTCACTGTTCTTCCTTGCTTCCCTCCTGCTCGACCTCGCCGGTCAAAACAAAACCTGGGCTCAGCCTTAACTGGTGCTCCGCGTTCAGCTTTGCTGCGGGGACTCTGCCGTGGCCAGCTGGGGGAAGCTGCCCTGCCAGGCACCGTCAAGCCCAGGGGATCTCCGGGACAGCCGAGGGCAGCAGGCAGAAACCGAGGATTGCTCTTCAGGCGCTTGTTGGGGGGTATCCCCTTACCCCGGAGGATGGGACCCCGCTTCCCTCTGCCCCTGCTCCCCCCACCCGAATGAAAGGCGAGTCGGTGAAATCGCAGCGTGAGGTGGGGCTGAGCGGCAATAGCCAGTAAAACACGCGGGGCGGGGGGGGGGCTCAGTGCTTGCCCTCATCCCTACCCGTAGCCCCGCGTGGCTCCCCGTGACCTGATTTCGCTTTGGGGCGGCGACGGTGGCGCTGGCTGGGGGACGGGGGGAGGATGGCAGCGAGGGGGTTTAGTGAGGGAAGACAACTGCGCGCTCGTTAGTGCTTGGCAATCCACCTGAACGGATGATTTTTGTGCTCGGCCATTCTTAGTTCCTGCCCCAGGACCGGTCAGAACGTGTTTCAAATGGAATGGAAGCAGCGTGCTCCTCTTCTTGCGCTTCAGTCTTGATGATGGCTCTGTGCTCAGTAAAACCAATCGTGCTTCCGCTTGTAACTTAGGATAGTGAGCTACCTGGCGTGCTAAAACCTGTTTTGCTGTGGCCGTGCTACTGTGTCCAAGACTATGTCTGTGATTGGGAATATTTTTGAAAAAGTCTTTTTTTTTGTTTGTCAACTGTTTTGGTGGGGTTTTTTTCTGTTGTTTTGTTTGGTTGGTTTTTTCTTTTTTTGTTTGGTTTTTTTTTTGTTTGTTTGTTTGGTTGTTTTTTTGGGTTTTTTTTTTTTTTTTTGGTAATTTTTCTAAGTATTGAGCAGAGAGCCCAAAGCTGTATTATACCTCAAGAAAAATGCTGCAGCACCACCCGTGGCAGCAGCTGAAAGCACACTAGCACCAGTGCCTTTTACACTGGGGCCCTCTGGCAGGGACCTGGCAGACTAAAAGCAATACTCCCATCTACGCTTGCAAGATTTGTCATTTTTAAATAGGGAAATAGTGCTGTTGCTGTTCACCTTAAAATAACCAAGTGGTTAAAAAACCCCCCAACCTGCAGTAAATCCAAATGGTTGCAGCAAAACACCAATTTTGTATTATCCTTTGAAAATAGCGTAGCGTACTGATTACCTCTGATTAAACTAGAGTATGTGGACTAGGTTTTTTTTTATTGTGTATTTATTAAAGACATGAGACTGGAATTTGTACCTCAACTGATGCATCTCATGATTTAATATATTCTGAACTCGATATTCTGCTACAAACCCCTCACTTTTAGTACAAATAAATATTTATATGTGGAACTAACTCTTGCTTTGCCGTTTTTACGGGGAGAATTACAAGCCCGTTGGTTCGCTGGGGGCTGTGACAGGGCTGTAGCCACAGCACCCCCCGCCCCGGGCCAGCCCTGCGCGCTCCTGCCTCGGGTGAAACCTCCGCTGATTTCTCTTTTTTGCTGTCTGGGCTGCGCAGTGTTAAATAGGCTTGTTCAACAAGCGCAGGGACGGCACCGTCTGGGCTGCCCGACCAGCACTTAAGCACCACCCAGCTGCTAAAACCCTCCCGAATTACGGGGAGACGCCGCAGCGTGCGGGCTCTTCCCCAGGGCCCTGCTAGAAGCAGCCCGGGGCCGGGGGCCACAGAGCAAACACCCCCATCATTTATTCCCCTGTTAAAGCTACTCCCGAGGTTTTGGTTTGCGCTGCAGGATGAGCAGCTGCTTTTACAGCCCCGGGACCATTTCGGTCGGGCTTGGGTTGTGCACGCTGCCTACTGGTGACCGCTACAGCTGAACAGCTCTTAAACACTTTATTTCCCTGCCGAGAACGTCTCTGCCTCTTCCTGCCAGAGGATTCGGCCTTTAAACCTTTTAAAGACCCATCTCAGGTGAAATTGCGGTAGGGCTGCGAGGGCAGTACTGGAGACAAGGGCTCCCAAAGCAGCAGCGGGAGCTGGCAAGAACGGAAAAGCCCTTGGAAAAGCGGAAAAGTCCTTCCTGCTGCGGGAGCTGTCCCCAGGGGCCCGCCGAAATAACCCCGCACCTCCCCTCGGATCGGTCCCCTGAGCCTGCAGCGCTGCCTTGCAGCCCCGAGGAGCCCCAGCACACCTTTGGCACCCGAGGATATTCAACTGAGTCAGACTAAGAGCCGGTGCGTCCCGCAGCCAGCGGGACGGACGGAAGGACACGGGGGACAGAGGTGTGTTCCCTGGAGGCCGCCTTCAGCACCCGCCGCCCGGCTCCAGCCCTCTTCACGTCACCCCGCGGCGCAGCTGCCATCGTTACCTTCGCCTCACGCTGCTGACCTCGAGGGCCCGCGGAGCTGCGACACCCTGGGCTGCCCCCGGGGCTCGACCAACCCCGGCGACGTCCTTGCGTTGGGCCAGCGCACAATTCATAATACTGTCAGAAGGAGAATCGAGTTACTGGAGCCCTACCGACAAGAACAGCACCAAAACGCTTTTGCCACTTACATCTTTAACCCTTTGCCTTTATCACTACATAACAGTACATGAATTTACCGAAACTGTTGCCAGCAAGTACAGGAGAACGTTGCTAAATCACATTTATAAACCCGAACCCCGTCCCTTTCCCCCGGGTTTCGCCGATCAGAGCAGGTGACAGAGCAGAACACCGGGAACCGTGGCCCCCGCGCCCCCGAGCGACGCGACTGAGGCTTCGTGGTAGGATGGCACGGTGCAGCAGGGGGTCCTCCCGAGATTAAATAGCAGCGAGCCCTCGTTGCAACGCGTAATAGATCAGAAAGCCACAATTCCAGAGAGCTTATAATAGGTGGGACTTCATGAAGGACCAGTTAAGACTCGACTCTAATTACTCGCATCGAGGGAAAAATAAAAACAAAAGGGGCGTTCATTTAAAGAGCCGCAAAAAAGCAGAATTCATACAAAATTAAAAGTATTCAAACATTTTTACAGCAGTTTACCGCCTTTTACTAAACGGCACCAGATTCCCGGTGGTCACGTGAAAGAAAAACCAGTAACATTCCAAATTTTGCCCGCAAGTCCTTCTAGAAGCAGCATTTCTATCTCCGTATTGGGTGCTAAAAGGAAGGAGTAAATGTGAACCGAGTATCGACGAATCTTTAATCTATACATCTCTTGATTCGGTTTGATCCAGGAAGTAGAAAAGGTTTTCCATACGCGAGTTATCTACAGGTGGTGTCTATATATAAAAAACTGGGTGGCTATGTACAGGTAACGCAGACACGCGCGCTCGTACGTCTATACAGGAAGCGGGAGCGGCTCGTGGCCCCGTGCGCCACGTCCGGACCTGCTGTGAGGCTGCACCAGCCTCTCAGTTACGGGACAGGACACGGGCGGCTGCGCTTGGTCTGGGCTGTAATTGTTCCACCTGGTGACCGGGCGCTGCCCTTCTCCTCGCGCGTGACTGGATTTCAATAACTTAGAACCGGCCGTATAAAAAAAAAACAATTCCAGAAACGGAACTCCCTTATTCAAGGAACACCTCCCCCCGCTCCCACCCCCCCGACATTGTTTTTGCTAACTGATTACAGAAGGCAAACTAAAAATCACATCAGAAACTGCAAACACACCCTTGGTGTCTTAATCTAAACTAACGTGCATCAAAACATTCTGCAGCGTGGCATCCTTCGACTTTCGCATCTTCTCAATCGCCCTGTGGAGATCCTGCTGCTGCACGGGCCGAATTTCATCTTCGTCGTGGCTTTGAAAGGAAGAAAGGAGAAGAAAAAAAAAAAAGCAAGATGATGATTCGGGTGCTGTGTAACAGCTGTTCAAACAACGCGCAGTCCCCGATCCGGCACGACGCTGGGATCCCGCCCCGGCCCACGCACCATCGCCTGCGGGAGCGGGAGCTGATCGGGGGGGAAGAGCCCAGCAAGGGGAGTTGAACACACCCAGGGGACTTGAACACACCCAGGGGAGTTGAACACACCCAGGAGTGGCACCAGCACGTGAGGCCGGTAATACAGTGCCACCCTCGCCGCTTGTTGGCTCGTGCCACCTCAAGCTTGACCCCGTGGAACACACGGTCTTATTTTCATCGTCAGAGTGAATAAGGGGAACACTTGTCGGGGTTGTTGTTTTTTTTTTTTTTGTTGTATAGTGGCAATTTGTCAAGAAAGGGAGAACCTCTGGCTTCCTGTGAATCACAGCGAGGTTTTTTAAACCTCTATAAATTCACAGTTCCAATCAGAAAATCTAAAGTGGTGATTGGAGAGTGTGTAGCATCAGGAGCATTCACAGTGGCTGCTCAGCTATCGTAACAGACAGGATAAAGGCACGTACGTCTCTTCTTCACAAGCAGAGTTAACGTATTCCCTGACACAGAGCAGTGCTGCATCCCGGCACATTTCTTTCAGATCACTGCCCGAGAAGCCATCGGTCTCTTTAGCAACTTCTAGGAGATCTACGTGCCTGTCCACCTGCCAAAAGCAAAAAGGTCAGAGCATGAAAAGCCTCAAGCCGTTTGCTTTGTTCACCAAGGACGAGAAACAGTCATCTCCAAGTATTTTTACCTGCCTATGGAAGATTTTTTCAGTCTTGACTGGTTTTGAGAGCTAAAAGAAAATTCTTTTATTAACTTGCACTTTGAACTCTCCAAGTAGTTCAGTAATAAGGGAAACTGATGCTTCATCTCATAAAACTCTGCAGCTGATAATAAAAAAAAAAACCAAACAAGCAAACAAACAAAAAATAAAACCCCAGGCAAATGAAAGCAAACCATCGGATCGGTATGTTCTGTTACTGACAAAGTTCCTGTGTGGCTTGGGAAGCCTACTGGATGGCAAAAACTGGATCACAGGAAAAAAATGACCCATTTTCCCAAATGCCCACACAAGTTTCCTGCAACAAAACTGCCTTTTTTTTGGTAAAGGCCTCAATCAGACCCTATATGTGCATCTTTTCACCTACAGACAGTGAGCGCTACCCAGCAGTGTCCTTTCACAGCCACAGCCCCTTTTTTTTTTTTTTTTTTTTAAGACATTATTTGACAGAGTGCGTTCTGTTTTCATAAACATGTCTTTTTACCAGTAACACAGCAAGGCTGGAAAAAGTTCCTGTGACATTTCCAGTTTTGTTGTTGCCACCTTTCCGTGCAGGAGGAGAACTTCAAAAGCTCGAGTGGGCTGCTGGATTATTGAACAACTGCTCCTCCTTTATACAACCATGAAACGGGGAACTCCGAAGCACAAAACAATGTGTCTTAACTCCACGCACGGCGTCAGGGGCTTGAACTCATTCTGGCCAAGACCTGTGTGTTTATTCACTCCATTTACAGCACCTCTGATAACAGCTCCTTCTGGCACATTTTTCAATGCATTAGTATTTCCTTTTCAGAGAGTTAAAGCCAAACTAGCCTAATAAAAGGCTGAAATTACAGGATGACTTCTTCTGAAAGGGAAACTATGCCGAGGTGGATGAAGGCAAAGCCCCAGGTGTAACCTGTGCTGCTTCCAGCTACCCCCTCTGACCCGGGCGCTCCCCACGACAACCGACAGCTGCTGAGCACCCTGCCAAATCTTCACCAGCCCTGCCACTTTTCTGGAAAAACAGTGCTGGCTGGCATCTGGAGTTCGTGGTGGAGCCCCAGCTCCCTGGCCAACGACTTGGCACGCAGCGCTCTCTCGGGTTTGGATCCAGACCGAGCCGCCCGGCAAACCAGGCATGGAAAATAAGGCAAAAGCAGCAGCTTTTTTTTGGGCCGAAGTGCCTCCTACAGACACTGCAGCCTGGCTGTTGTGAAGTGCTTGGCTGTAAAGTGCAATCCCGCACGCAAGCACCAAAGCCAGTTACAGTCAGCTGTGGGTCTGCAACATTATGGGCTCAGAGCGGGGCTGAAGGCCACGTCAAAAGCTGAACGGAGCAATGCAGCTGGCTAAAAAGATACAAAAAAACAGGGATGCTGCGTAGCAGGCATTCACAGGGACTTCCCTTCGAGTGAGAAAGGAGATTTTAAGGCAGGCAAGGAAAACAGAGGGCATGACTACACCGCCAAGAAGTCTGTCACCCTTGCTGGAAATACTTGAAAGATCCAATTCTTCCTGCTGTGGGATAACCAATACAGGCTGATTCCCTTCCCCTCAAAAAACATTATTTGTGTGGCTGCAACTCACTGTCAGATGCTCGATACACCTTGTGCTCTTTCAGGTTCACATTCACGACCGGTTTTAGGTTTCTGCTGAAGGTCTTGAGGCCAAGGTGCTGGAACTCCCCAGCCCAGACACCGAGGCAAAGGAGCCACAGTCCACTTGTGTGCAAGGGCTGGGTGGCTGCAGATATTTGGGGAGCCTGTATTCAGAGAGTCTCTTATTTAGCATACCGCCCTATCAGCCCCTGAAGAGCAAATTGGGTCTGAAATCACCACTCGCAAGAGACATTTTAGTTTGTTTGAGATTTTCTGCAAATAGGTCTGCTCTTCCTCCACAACGCCCCTGGCATCTTGTAGCAGTCCCGTTTTCACACCTAGGTGTCAAGTATTTTGCAAAAAAGCCAACCTACATTCTAATCCTACATAAACAATCCAAAATGGCCACTTGCAAAGTAACCTCCCCAGTATCTCAGCCACTCGTACTGATGAGCTGGGATTTTTAGGCCTGCTTGAAAAAAACGTAACTTGGATTTACAAATTAGTATTTATTAGGGTAGATCTCAACCAAGAGACACTTTGCAACATTAACTTCAAGACAATTAAGTGCTGTGGGCTAAATTTGGCAGGAACCTCCGATAACACAGGTCCCCTATCCTGCCAAGAGACACTGCCAGATACGCTCACAGCTACTCCTCCCCCTCATCTTGGAATGCAGATGGTGACACGAACATCATACAGTATCCGTAACAATATCTGGAGTAGTTTTTCTCTGAAGGAAATATGAGCTAGGGATCAAAGTGCAGAAGGCAGCACTGTCAAAACACGTCATTCCTCTGTTCTTGACTTGAGCCAACACACTGTACAGAGTTAAAAAAATTCAGTCTCTCTCCTCCTTGTTTCATGACGTCAGGAACTTTCACTGATCAAAGTGATTTCCAAACATGATTCACCTTCAGCATCGTTAGAGATAAACAGATTATCTTGTATTATAACAAGAAAATGGAGACAGAGAAATTAAGCAGTTTTCCTCAGAGATGGTGATTCACCACAAAATCCATGACTGCTGCTCTGACTGAGGCTCATGCTTAAGCCAGTAGGCAATTCTACTGCTTTAATTTAACGCCACGCCTAAAACCGCAACAGATTCCTAAATGATAACCAGAAATACCCCGGTAGGTAATCTCTACCTTACTCCAAGACAGGCCATTACAAACCACGCTTTCCGCAATTCCGGAGCTTGCACTCACAACAGTAACGCAGCAAATTAACCACTGAAAGAAGTCTACTTACATTTTCATTTTTCAAAATGAGCTTCAAGATTGCTTCTCTTTGTTTCAGGGCCTTAAAGCAAAAGAGATTAAAGTTACTGGAGTACAAAAGTGAACGTCTGTGACATCTCTCTCAATACTGCACAGCATGGGCTTTCAAGAACAGTTCCGTGGCACAAGCTGATCCCTCAAAGGAGAGATGTGGCACACACTAAGGAAACTTATCTGATGGCAAATCACTCAGCAAAGCGAGACCTAGGGTGCTCTGGCTGCAGGAGCCCATGAAACTAAACGTCCGAGTACATACAATAACTGCACTGAAAGGGAAACTGCACTGACATTTAGTCTTACTCTGCCCTAAGTGAAAGTAGCTGCCTCCAGAGATTTCCCATCATCTTTAACGGAGGGGCAGACTCTCTAGATCTAGGAGATGCTTCCAACACACTGCTAAAGCAAATGAAGAAGATAAAGGGTTCTGCTTAAAAGAAAAAAAAAAAAAAAAGTAATTCTGCAGGTGATGCTTAGGAAATGTTAAGCACTCTAATTCACATCCTGTGATGAGGTTACTGAAAGAAACAGCTCAGTCCAAAGCATATCCTTAAGAGCAAGGTAAAACACAGACAGCAAAGAGACTCTTTTTTTGTGTCTCCCAAACCCAAACTTGTCCTGAATTCGCTTTTGCTGTTAAAAAGGGAAAAAACTACCCCGTAGATACTCTGGCAGCTGAACAGTTGATACTCTGTCTGAAAAAAAAACTTCTTCCCTTTCCCTCTGCCTTGCAGATAATTTCTTATGAGTAATTTTGGCCATTTTAATCTCAAACTTAGTTACAAAATCTGCAAGGCTTTAGCTGCTCTACAGCAGTACAACACGCGCCCACTGCCAATCCACAGCCCATAAATTACACTGGCCCTCAATAAAAGAGTTGTAACCAGTCTTGGCTGTATTGCAAAGTACCACAGACAAGAAGGAGAGACAAACGATAAATTAATGAGATAGCTGTAGTGGGGTACAGAAAGTTAGGTGCCTGTGCCCAAAATGACATTTCCTGTCGAAATTCTGGCCCCAGGAGAGTGAAGCAACCCCTGCCATCTCCTGAGGCACTGTTACCTGCAGATAATTCACCCTTCTAACCATGGTTCTAGAGAGAAAAAACGCGATGAAGCACTAAAATACACATGCTTGCCCTGTACTAATTCAAGGAAAACTTGAAGATGAGGAAAGTGCCTGAAACCCTAGGAGGAGGCATGGCAGAAAAGCAGATACTATGTTAGAAATGCTTTGTGTCGAAAAATATCCGCCCACAAGGAGCGAAAGCCAGTTCAAACAAGATGGGCCTGGGAACGCGACGACTCTCTTGCACAATCAGTAAGACTTTTCCTCCTCCAGTTTTCTAAGTTTCTGCAAAAAATTAATAACGAAGGGTATTTCTGTAGCCAGCAGGGAATACTGAAGTCTTTATAATACTGACACAAAAACGTCTTGCGATATCGTGAAGTGCTTGAAGGACACTAAAAATACCTTGGAAAGGATGGCAATGGCAGCATTTACAGTACGGGCAACCTTGTGAAGGCTGACATAATTGACGAAAACCTTAATTACTGCCTGTTTGTCTTAAACCAGAAGTGGAATAAAACCAGTTTCCCAGACTGCCTGCAGTGCCTGACTATGGAAAGGCTTGAGAAGAACGTGGGCAATGGTATGCAGATTTCATTCCTTCTGCTATCCTCGAAAACTAAACCACTGCGTGTCAAGAAGGTACAAAAGGTAGTTGATATGTACCTGCTCCTTGACACTAACTGATCTGGGTGCCACCCTCCCCGTAGGCAAGCGTGTGCAAGTCACTTCTGTGCTTTTTTGTGATTGTAAAGCTAAGTTCTTTCCAGAACGTAGCATCTAAGCCACTCCATTCTTACAGAGAACGGGTGGGAAGCTCGCGGAGTGCACGGCACCGTTTCAGATAAAAGATCCAAGGAATCAAGATTTCTGTGAGAAACTTCACTTTAAAAAAGCAAAGTTATATATGCGCTTCTAAAAAAACCAGAACCAGATCAAAATATTACAGTATTTCTGTGGAAGGAAAAAAAAAACCAAACCAAACCAAAACAACAAACCAAACCAAACCCAAGAGACATGCATTTCCTGGCCGACGAGGCACCTGCCTGTAGCTCAGCCTCTAGGCATACTGTTCAGGCAAACCTGGCGTGACTTACAGGTTGGTTGATGTGAAACCGGGTCGGCATTCTTCTCATGATTGCAGAGTCAAGATCCTGAGGACGGTTGGTGGCTCCCATCACAATCACCTGGGTACACCAAGAGGAAAAATTAGTCAGCCTGGAATCAGCTTTTGGAAACACCGCTGTACTGGAGTTTCAAAACCAAACCTGTGACTCTTCCACACTTTATCAAGAACATCGACATTTTAAGAAGTTACATAAGGTTCCTTGGTACTGATTTCAGCAACTGGATTTAAACAGGCAGCTTAAGGGAGCACTGGTACCACAGAGTACCATCTGGGTGGAGATTTTTACGTTAGTCTGAAGCCTTCTAAGCCCAGTTGGAAAGCTCCAACTCTCAGCAGTAACCCAAAACTTCTCCTTGTAAGTCTTGGCAATGTCTCTTTAGTTCCTGGTGGCCTGGAGAGATGTTTTGGTAAGGTATTAACAAAAATGTGGCGTATTTGCACTCTGCTGAAAATAGAAAAGCAATCAGTTCACCAGGATGACCAAACTGGCAGCTTTCCCATGCATGAAAATGCTTCTTTTTTTATAATGCCAAAAAAAGCATTAGAAGTCAGTAAGAACCTATATGCACTGGTACAGCGTAACGTACACCAGCCAGGTTCACTACAAGGAGAGTATTCACCTCATTTGACTGCATTCCAGTTATTAGTTTAAGAACAAATTTACCTCCCGTTCATATTCAGCTCTGTTTACTCATTTGTTAGTGTAAGTTATGTACACTGTAAATACCTAGTCACGAAAAGTGAAAAATGTCAGGGAAATTAATCTCCTATCCATACAGTTCCCTGACATGCTTCTGGTCTTTTGTCTGGGGTCACTGTTCCGCAGCCAGCCCTGGCAGCTCCAGCAGCCCCTGGCCAGGCGGGGTTGCACGTCCCGGAGCAGAGTCACCCTGCCACCTAGAGGCTTCATTATATGGTGGCAAATCGCTACACAAAAAGCACATTTTTTTGGTTTTTTGGTTTTTTTTTTTTTTTTTTTTTTTTTTTTTGCCAGGGCTCCAGCATTAGGCGTGCAAGTGCTTTGCCCTCGCCTGCAGGCCGAACACGCACTCAGGTTTGGCGGAGTTGTCTCTGGCAGAGAGGCCTCACCGTGCCCACGCCGTGCTTCCCCTCGGGAAGCTTCTGCAGCCAGACCCAACGTCGGGCCCAGAACCTTGCTCCCACCCTGCTGCAGGAGCTGAGGAATCTTCCCAAAAGCAGCTTCGTCCAAAGGTTCTGCGAACTGGGGAACCCCCGGGGCACAACCGCGGCTTCCAGGCTTCAACTGCCCTTTCAAGCAGCACAGCTCTGCTTTACAGGCACTGCGCCCCGAGCTCCTGCTGGACTCCAGACTATATCCCCGCCAGGTTTAGCCCAAAGCTGAACAAGCTTGTCACGTGCAATCCACACAGGAACAGGTAACATCCATCACAACCCTTATTTACAATTTCCTCCTAGCGTTTGGGATTTTTCTTACTGTAACAAAAGCCAAATATTCTCCTTATTCAAAGGAAATTTGTTTGGCAAGAATCAAACAAGCAACGCAAAGCTCCCAAGGAAACGTTTGTAATTAACAAAAGAGCCCAGCAAGCTGGCTGTCAAAAACTGAGACAATGCATATGTCAAAACCACCGCTTAAAGAACAGTTCCTGAATTGCAGTGACACCTCGGGAAGGAGCCCGAAATACCGTACTGAAACAAACCACTCCTGCTGAAAAACTCCCCAGAAACCCGAATCAAACCCTGGGGTGTGTCCAGCCAACTGGTTGCATGGCATTTGACTTGGGTGGCTCCCTACCCTGCACAGGAACATGAGTAAAGGACAAGAGTGACTTGTCCAGGCTCTGCCTGACTTGAGAGATGAGGCTGAACTTGAGAGATGGGTAAGGCCACATATTGTCTTACTGCTGGGAATGAACAATTTGACTTGCCCCCAGAAGTTGTCTGTATATTGGGGAAAAAAAGAGAATACATTAGAACACTGGAAGAAATGTGTGCTTGCAAGATCATATTTGCTTCCAGTTAAATGTTCATACCATTGGCCTCTTACTCATAGTAAGCAAACACTCTGCTTTAAGGCTCCTCCGTGTATATATATTCACTGTGTTCAATTAAGTTTTAAAAAAAAAAAAAAAAAAATCAACTAAAAAAAATGTCTTTAGCACAAGTCTGACAGAGGAGGAAAAGCAGATTTTGCAAAGAAAGAACTAATGGAGGTCAGAGAAACGGAACCCATTCACAGAGAAATGCAGATTAAAAAAAAAAGGCTGAAAAATTTTAAATTGGAGAATAAACATCCTTTTTAAAGACCTTAAAAAGGCTGCTCCAGGTGACAGCTCAGAAACACAGCAAGTGGGCTACACTCCACTAATTTATTTCATAAGTCCATGCTACACTCCGCTAATTTATTTCATAAATGTTTTTCTTTTTGTGTGTTTTTACAGCACCAGCAGCTTTCATAGTTTTTTTTTTTTTCTTTCCTAAATAGAGTATTTCTGTTGAGATTACGGGAGGGGGACAGAAGCATACAGGAACAACGGGATAGAAGCATGGCTCCATTTAGTAGAATTTGTCTTCTGATAACATGAACTTCTCTACCCTTTCTGATTAACTCGAGAGTCTAGTGCTTGTCTAATGCTTTTCTGGAAACAAACCAACCCACCTCCAACTGGGATGAACTGAAAGATCTGAGAGATCTTTCAATACCTTTCCTGAAATCAAAGATTCCCTGCACCTGAAGAAAATACTGTTGACAAAGTGTTTTTCAAAACAGTTTAAAGACTCCTAATTTTAGCAGCTCAAACTATACAGCTGTATTATTGGGACTTAAGGCACTTCTGAAAATAACATCTCAATTAAAACCAAAATACCTCCAAAAGCAGTCTTCTCAAGAAGAAAAAATGATTAGTGGACCTCCTGTCATTCCCGTAATATACAATTCCCATAATCACGAACACTGACAGGTAAAGAAATCCTTCTGGCAATTCTTATCACACGCAATCTGCTACTCTTCCCAAATGGCTCAATGCACAATAACCAAGAGGGAAGAACCACATTACTTTTCTCGTAATCCTTTGTACTTACCTGGCAGTTATAATCCGTGTCCAGTCCATCCCACAGACTCATGAACTGAGCTTTCATCATAGCTGTAGCTTCATGGTCAGAACTCGATCGACTCCGCAAGAAGGAATCTGTAGTCAAGAATTCAGTCAAGCAGTTTACTTTCAAGCCTATCACAGCAACTACGCTGTTTGATTTCTCACGTGCAGACTTGTGCTAGTGTCTCTCGTAGAAATACTTCAATAAACATTGTCAACAAATGAAAAATAGTTCTTATGAAGAAGAACAGGAAAGGGAAATCTCACCATATTTTTAAGCACATCTTTCAAACTACATTACACGAGTATGTGCCTATCACATGACACTGTCCCAAATGTCACGCTCCAAATTTTACACTTTCCTGAATTCATGGAAAGTGTAACTTAATTTCTCATGCAGAGACGGAAGCATTCAGAGTCTGGCAGGCCAGAAGACACCAAAGCACAGGAGAACAGCCAGCTGCAGGACTGACGTACAGTAGGCTATACACTTTGTTATGCGGAGCTCTAACTCTGCTAGCGGTTGCCTAAAGAATTTCCAACAGCTGGGAAAGCACCACGTTTTTCACACCTATACAACAGGACAGAAGGTATCTTAAGAATGCGGCCCCTTCCTAAACCTGACTTGTGGAAAGGGTAAAAGCTTCATCAGGCTCTGTTTCTGCCAACTGTACGACTCGCTCCAAGAAGCGCTCTATGAGACAACGAGCGATTTTAACTGAACTGCCCAAGTCCACAGGGACTTAAACACGGATGCGACAAGTCCAAATGCACCGAACAACTGGCACCTTGGCTGTTTTCCCAGCTGAGCTTCCCCCCTCCTACTCCTTCAGTCTTATTAAAAACTATTATTCCTGAGCTCTCCTAAACCTGTACTTTATTTTCTATTACGTGCCTTCATGGCAGAAGCACTGAAGTGTATGTGGTGATGGGTTTCCTGAATAACTAGTTCCCTGGACAGAAGAAAAGCTCTCCTTGTGAACCACCTTAGCCCAACTGAAAATAAGCAGCAACTTGTTCTACTTCTAATTTCCTCCTCTAACAGGAGGAAGAAATACACCTTTTCCTAATTTGCCACCATTGCTCTACAATACTATTTGTATTACTGAACCTTGTTCCATTATCCCCCCTTCTAAGGAAAAGATGACAGTAGATCAATATACTCGAACATCAACTTGAACCTACAGTTTAATGTCACTCTGTTATAGTTACTTTCAAGCAAAGAGAGATTTTTACCTATTTCATCAATAAAAATGATGGACGGTTGGAGCTTGATAGCAAGGGAGAAGACAGCAGCAGCCAGCTTTTGAGACTCTCCATACCATTTGTCCGTCAGTGTTGAAGGCTGGAGATTAATAAATCGACAACCTGCTTCCTTTGCTGTAGCTTTGGCGATCAGCGTTTTGCCACAGCCAGGAGGGCCATAGAGAAGTACTCCTGAAAAACATGCTTTGGTATGACAGACCCGACAGCGTCCAGGCTTGTATTTTATCCAAGTTTTAAAAGATAAGAAACCAAGTTACAGAGTGTTTCACCAAATCGAATACAGAGTTATTTAAGATATCCTTATTATAAAATTAAAGCTAAGAATATCTTAAAACAGGTACGGTGAAACCAAAGGGAGACACTTGGCTGAAGGATGACTGTTTTTTTATTATTGTGACCGTACAGGTTACATAAAACTAAAAGCCTATTTGTTTTCTGTAAGCATTTGACAGGCCTTGTATATGGCTCTGGAGCATTTCAGTTTCAGCCTTCCTAATAAAATTTAACACAGAAGGGGGAAGATTAAAAAAAAAAAAAAAAAAAAAGAGCCCCACAAACATTTTAAACAAATTACTCACAATTAAATGACACCTCATATTATTTTTAAACACGTCATAGTGAAAGAATTCACAGTAGTGATCTTCTAACATAGTTGTAAAGAAAACAATTTATAGAAAAAAAAATTAGGTCAAACAAGCCTGAAACACAGAAAATTACTACTTTTTTTTTTTTTTTTCTCTGTTTATGTGACTGATGAGCACAAACATAATTACTCTGAAGCAACGACTTCCTATAAACACACAGTGCAAGCCACTAATAAAATAGGGGAGCTTGCCCTATATGGAAAGTCTGCTTTAGAAAGATAAATAAAAAATAATTTTTTCCTTCAGCTTATTAGAGCATGACATTAAAATAATTTTCCAGACAGTTCCAATTGGTGACTTAAACAGAAAGAAATCTGGAAAAACTAAAACCAGTTAAAAATGTGCTTCATTTTCCATCACTTAGGACACGAAACTGAGATGGTCACAGATACGGGCAGTAATTAATAGTTTTCAGAGAATTTTCAGAAGACAATATTCCGGGGATCAGAGCAGTAAATATAAACTTTGGCATTTTGGTCAACATTTTAGGTTCAAATTCTGCTTGTTTGCAATAACATACAGCAAATAAGGCTGGAAGAATTCCAGCCGAGAGAGTTCAACTTCTGTTTTACTGTTGAAAAGTTAATTTGTCACCTGCTGATTTTCTTACTGCCTCAATACACTGTGCAGCTGAACTCCAGAGAAAATCAAGGGATCTCCAGAATACAAACGGGATCTCTGTCTCTCTGAATGACTGGAATTTCTAGGACTAGATGTCTGCAAAATTAACTTACGTTGACATCTCATGTTCATGTTTCTATGACACTGTAGAAATATTAGCCAAGCGTACAAAGCCGTACAGTACAGTTACAGCTCACCTCTGCCAAAGGACAAGATGGGGTATAAGAACAAAACAGACAATTTAGACAGTTAAAAACGCAAGCTACATAGATTAGTGCACCAAAATGTAATATCAATAACTGAAAAGCAATTGTCACTTCTTTATTAAGGTGAACCTTATTCACTAGAACTTGACTTCACAGCATGAGGAGAGGAAAAACCTGAGGTTTTTCCCTGGCATCGGTCCTAATGGTTGCACTTGGGACTGGCAAGCCACTTCCTCTTTCCCTTCTGGGTAATTGTAACTTTTTTTTTTTTTTTTTTTTTTAAAATAACAACATATAAATCCGTAACATTTCCTTCCTACCTTTTGGTGGCTGTAAGAGCCTGGAATTCTCAAACAAGTATTTTTTCTTGATAGGCAAAATGACAGTGTCTTTCAAATCGGTAATAACATCATCTAAGCCTGCAATATCACTCCAGGTTACCTAATGCAGAAAAACAGTGTTAGAAATGATCGTTATAGTCCCTGCCAACAAAAAACATCCACAAGCTTAAAAGTAGTGCAAGGCCTCAAAAATAAAAGACAAGTGACTGGAAAAATAACCCCTCTGCTCTCAGTGATTCAATTTGAACTTTGAACTACAGAAATACTTTCTATGTATTTCCATAGATACATATATATGACAAATAATGTAATCCAAAGACAAAATCATGATCTTCCCTGTTTGAAATGCTTTCATTGGAGTAACATGGAAAACGGTTTCTTACATGCATGCTAAGCGGGTCTACGAGATGGGCAGCAATACTCATTTCGTATTCGGTAAGCTTGACATTTTTCACTCCAATTTGCTTCATTAGTTTTTCAGCCTGGGGGAAATAAAATGCCAAGAAAAATCAGAGAAAGAAACTGAATGCCTAATTCAAAAAATAGGTTTTAGAGAACTGCTATTTGGAGTCTGAGAAGCTTCTCTGTAAGTCACATCTGAAAAGAGGTTAAATCTTTCTGAAGTAGAAGGTTCTGCTGTTTCCTAATGACTTGTCATTTGAGCGAAACTAAGTCATACGTCTCAGTTCCCATCAAACAAGTGTCACACCAGCCCTCCCACCCCCAAACCCGCAAGTCATACATTATGACCCAAAAAGCAACCAAAATAAACATTCAAACATGGAGTCTGCTCTTCAGAACAGGTTTGCAGACACACAGGTAAACTCAGTACAAAAATCGTTTCCATAATCTATACAGGAGTTCCCAAAGTTGATATGGGTATGTTACACTTAAAAAAAGCCCATCGGTCCTTACAAACTGTGTACAAGATTCAGATGAAAAGCCTGAAACTTGTTATTAAATAGAACTCCAGAGTTCTTTCACATGCTTAATTATCTTCATTCACAACCCTGAAAATAATAGGCACACGCTTTAATGGGGGATATAATGGTGTTATAAAGAGCATGCCCCCCAACTCAAACCTCCACAGCATTGTACCAAGGAGAGACTAATACATTTTTAAGAAAAACCCCAAAGATAATTCACAGAAGCCAGTCAATTTTTTCTATGTATTCAGTGTTTTCTTTTTCCCAATTTAAAAGGAAAAGCCATTTGTTGCATCAACACACTTTCACAATTCAGTTTCTCTTTACACTCAAACTTGCGGTTAAGTCTGACATGCTTTTGGGATATTGCAACCTCTTATATAATAGCTGGCATTAGCACAGATTCTGAAAGTTGATTTTTAAAGCGGGGCCAATTTTTTAACTAAAGATTTCATTAAAAAAGACAAACCACCCAAAACAGAATTAGGTTGCCCAGAACTGCCGTTTGAATCTGTGAGATTTGTGCCAGCCAGAGAACAAAAAAAAAGAGTTGCAACATTTCCTTCAACACTTTCCAAATGAAACATTTAACTTTTGGTTCTGAAATGCACCTAAATCTTTTTCCAGAGCATTACCCTCCCACGAATCATTCTAGTTCAACATAAGGAATGAGGCTTCTCACTTTTTTGGTCCCCTTTCCAGGGCACTGTGACTGCTCCTGGGGTGGAGGGAGAAAGGAGGGAGAGGGACAAAGTGCAGGCTATTAGATAAAAAGGTGTTTGGACAGCAGTGTTCCTCTCTGCCATGAGTAACTACAGTCAGTCCCGGTCTCTGCCATTAATTTGCCAAAAAGCAGCAGAGAATTAAGTTATCTCTGCTCAAGGTTTTAAACAGCAACAAAGAGACTGATGAGAGCATTATTCAAACGTGACTGCTGCTTAGCAAAGTGGTTAGAAGCAGGAACGGCACTGGGACCACGCACTTGCAGATAATTAAAGACGTTGAGCTCCAGTTCAACGGGTTTTCCACCACCTTGAGCTAGAAATTTTAACTCGTTATCAAATGTAAGCACTGAAACACTAACAGCCTAGATCCTGAGATTTACTAAAAAATAATTCTAGGTTTTTTTGATTATTCCACATGCTTTGGTCAATTACTTTGTTCCTTATTGCAAATTCAGTTTTCAGTTAGCACATTTCGCTGTATGAATAGTAACAAACAAGACAGCATTTCACAGAAATATTTATGAATAAAATCCTACCTGTTTCTGAGCTTCTACTTTTTGCTTTCTCGTCGGATCAATGGCATCAACCATCCATTTAATGGTAAAATATGTTACAGCACCAAATATGGTTAAACGAAAAATTAATCCAACCACTTCATTCCGGCTCAGGGGACGTGAAAATGCTTCGGCGTGGACCATTTTGTCTCTCCACACTAAATGTAAAAAAGCACAGCAAGGGACAGAAAGAAATAAAATTAAAGCGGAGAAAACATCTGCCTTAAACACCATTTTATAAAAACTACTTCCCATGCACACAGTGGGCATAAAACTTACCACGAAGTCACAAGGAAATAGCTGAACAATAGCACAGCCCCAGCCTATAAAACTGCGTAAGACTAAAACACACAGCACTGACTGCAACGATGGTTTCACTTCCACTTTCAGTAAGCAGAGAAGGAATGGCAGCAACAATTTGAGGCCTTACTTCATGACTGACTACATGCAAAAAGTCCTGATTTCACTCTTCCCTCAAAAAATCTGCATTCCTTCCAGCTATACAACACTCTAAGAAAGTAATAAAGATTACTTTATTTCAATACTAACCTTAATTCCCATTAAGACTGATATTTTGTGACTGTTATCGACCCAAGAATGCTAAGTCATGGAGACAAAGATTACGTTATTTAAACAAGGAGTTCTTTTCCCCAAAGGAAAGGCACCCAGCTGACACGAGCCATCGACAACTTGTACTTGAATAAAATGAGGTTAAAAGCTGGAGCCTGCCCCTAGCAGAATATATTTTGAGTTATTAATATCCCTGAAAAAATGAAAATGCTGGATGTGGCACACAGCTATCAAGGTAAAAAGCTGGCTGCTGTCGGTCAAACTCAGAAAGTACAGCAGCTCCAAGGTACGGGAGCATGCTGCAGAGAGGAAAAAAACCTTCCTAAAAGGCTGAAAAAATGACTTATAAAATTTTGGTCCTCCTTCCCCAATCACTTTCTCCTAATCAGCAGGGTTTCTGCTTGAAAATCCTCAAAGCTCTCCTTGTTCACTGCACGATTTCCCTGCTGCAAGGGCAAAATCAGTGGCAACTCCTTTGGCAGCTTCCAGCGCTCCCTGGCTGGTCTCCAAACGGAGCTGTCAGCCAGGGAAAAGCCAGACTACCTACAGCCAAGATATCTTTGAATCCCCCCTCTCCTGACCAGCAGCCGCTTTGTATCGACCCCGTGTATCCAACTCAAGGCAACGCCACACCAGAGGTTCTGTTTACAAGGATTTGGCAGGCTGGAATTAGGAGAAGTGCTGCGACACGTTTACCAAATGATGCCAACAGCTTGCTGCTATATTCCAGTGTGGATCGCTAAAATAGTTTTGTTTGGGGTTTTTTTAAACTCTTCATTGTCTGATTAGAAATTTAAAAATCAAGGCTGCTACTGTGCATACCTGCTCGGAAATCAGGTAAAATTTGCCTGCTTAGGCATCTAAGCAAGTAATATAGAGCTAGGAGATTCAGCACGCTCTCTTCAGCCCAATTTGTTCAAATACAAGGGCTATACATTCAGCGAACGAGAAAAAAAAGCTTCCGAAAAAGCCCCCAAACCCAATGATAAAAACCCGCTTCTTATGCAATCCTTGCCCTGAATACCTATCCTAAGAAAAAAAAAAAAAAACTTTAACGGGAAATAATTTTCAGTGGAACCTTTCTAAATGAAGTTCTGCTTACCCCGCTGGAATTTTAGCGTTTCTCTTTCTAGGCCGACCGCTGAGCTAACGAGGGCAGGTAAGCGAGCAGCGAACTCCCGGTGCGCAGGGCCACCACCGCCCTTCGGTTTAGCTCTGCCTGCCTGCCCGCGCTTCCAACGCCCAAGAGAAACCGAAAGGGACAAGCGGTGCCGGTCCCGGTTCTGCTCCCCCCCCGGGCGGCTTGAGGGGAAGGTCAGCCGGGGGCAGGCATCCCCCCCCCGCTCCCCGAGCCGCGGGGCTCGGCCCTGCCCCACGCAGCCCCCCAGGGCCGAGCTCCCTGACGGGCCCCACGGCGGTGAGGGCGCAGGAGCAGCCCCGGGGGAGCCCCCTCCGACACGGCCGGGGCCTGGCGGCGCGGTGAGGCGAAGGCTGAGGGCCGGGCCGGGCCGGGCCGGCGCCGCCGCCCGTGACCTTCCCGCCGCTCGGCGGGTGAGGGAGGGATGGAGGGAGGGCGGGAGGGAGGGCGGGCGAGCAGCGGCGGCCGCTCGCTTCTCCCGCCGGGTCACTCACCCCTCGGGCTGCTCCCTCGGACGCGCGGCCGGCGGCGAAGGGCGGAGGGAGGCGGAGGGGAGCGGAGGAAGGCAGGCGGCGGCGGCGGCGGCACGTTCCGCGCTTCCCCGCTCCGGCCGGATCCCGCCGCCGCCGCACGAAGGTTCCGCCCGGCCGGGGCGGAGCCGCCGCTTCCTCCTCTCTCGGAAACAGCGACGCGTTGGAGGTTAAACTATTGCTCAAGCTGGGAAGGCGCGGTGCTTGGGGTGCTGCGGAATGAAAAACATCGGCATTTAAGAATTCCTCGGGAGTTTACTAAGAGACAGCAAGGCAAGTTTTCCAATCTGACTTGTAATGAAACCAGTAACTTCACGTACATACTAACAGAAAAAAAATGTCCAAAGCAGCTTAAAATAAGGTCGCTGTAATAACTCTAACAAATCCAAAATGTTGGCTGTTTGTCTTCAACCCTTCTGCTCTCGTGTCAACGCCACTGGAGTTTTAAAGCCTTCCAGACCCAGCTTTGCCTCCCGAGAGCAAGCCTTACAGCTTTTATTCTCACCTGTTAATTCACACGTTGCCCAGGGGCTTCCTAGCAAAATTCAGCCTGCTCATCAGGGACGGAAATTTGTTTGTCAAGAGCAGTTAGCTTTTTATACAACACTAATTTTATTATGGGTCATTTCTAAATGTCATCCCTCGTACACGAATGCAGATGCTCCACCCACCGAGCAGCCCACGGAAACTCCCGGTGGGTATTGCAGGTGAGAACCCGTTGAGCAGATCCGCTGCTTCTGCTCTGAGATTTCTCCACCAACACCGCCCCAGGTAGAAAGCGTGATGCTGAATTTCCTTCCTGCAGCTGACCAGGCTCATGCCGACACCCAGGCACGCTCTCCAGTGACCCGAGTGGGATCCATCCACCCACCACCGCATCGGCGGTGCGTGGCGTTGCCATCATTCAATCCACGTGAAAAAAAAAAAAAACGTTCTCAGAGCGACTGTGATTTTACCAAAGTACCATTCCAGCAGTTTTGGTTTGGTTCCATTTATTGGATTAATGTACACCAACTCCCCCCCCCATCCTCCATCCCTCCCAAAACTAAAAAAGTATTGAAACAACTATAGTTTCTTCATCAGTACTGACAAATCAGTATTTCCCCTTTATAGTTTTGTGTGCCATAGCTCTTCCAAATAGAGTGCATTTAATCAGAAAATAAGCGTACCAATGTTTACACGCACCTATTGGTTTACAGAAGGCCTTCCTTTTCTGCTGCTCCTCCAGTCTTTGACAGTAAAAAAGATTACAATCTTCTAGAGTCTTTTTTTTTTTAATCTCTGTAGAATATGCGAACAGTTTCCCTTTGATGTTCTAAAAATTAACTAGATGCAGTCAGTGATGCTGACAGCTTTTGCTATTAATTTGAGACTGCTACTCGTTCTTGCAATCTCCCCTTTTGAATAGAAAAAGGATAATTTCACTGTCTGCATTTCATGCACTAGGAAAACGCTATTGTGTTTGAATTATCATTACTGTAGGAAAATATTTAGGACCCTTCTGTTCTTCGCCCCGCACTTAAAAAAGTGATCTGTTTTGTTGCAATTAAGGAGAAACAAAAACATACATACAAGCAATAAAAGCTCAAAACCAGCGTTTTGTCACTGCTACTTGACAGCTGCAGCAGTAACCTTTGAAAGAAATCCTCTGCAGAAAAATACTTAAGTTTTGAGAGATGCTATTTTTCAAAAGCTGACCAGGGTCAGGCTGAAGGCGAGGTCGATTCCGCTAGTTTATACTGTGCAGAATGCATAGATTGGATTGGGTCATAACTTCTCAAAATATTGAGACATTATAATGTCATGAAATTTCTTAAAAATGGTGAGCAACGCCAAGTTCATCCCGCTTTCCTCAATACACACCCTCAAAATCTTTACGTTGCTGAAGGGTCAACATAGGACTTAACTCATTCTAGAAGCGGATCCTACAGAACCTTCCATGAAGTCTCCATCCTCCTGACGCTTTCCCTCTTTGCACAGACCTGGCCATGACAAGGTGTTGCTTTGCCATCGCTGGTGCTGTCCGTGTGCCAGGTCCATCAGGAGCTGCAGGAGCCAGGAGAGACTACCAGCCTCCTGCTGACTGACCGTTCCTTTTCACTGTCAGTGTGAATCAGGCCTTAGTTTTCAATTTCTAACTTCTAGTAGAAGTATGTGTCTGAAAGAGAAATGTACTGGAAATCATGGGTTTATACTGGGAAAAAAAAAAAAAAAAAGTCTTTGTGGCAGCTGCTGTCCCCAAGCACTTGGCAGGCTACTTGGCTACTCTGGATCCTGGAGTATGCTTCCTACTTAAGGAGAGATCTAGAAAGTGGTAACATAAGTTGAAACTCATGCAGTAGACTATTAATTTTGGTTTTGCAGCTGTGGGAAAAAAAAAGTGAACTTTTTTTTTTTTTCTATTATATCAAAAAATGAGATTGCAAATTTTCCCCCCCAAGTTGAAAAATATCAAATCAAATGTATGGATGACTTGGTTGGACTCTAGGAAAATGCAGCTCTTGACTACAGGACTAGAAGGTCACGGATAGAGATCTACTATTCAGACTGCTTTTTAGCCTTCGTCTGACTTGGAATTGGGAATCTAGCAAAAAGACTTTCAATTAAGCCATAATAACTTCCTAGCGACATACACGTAGCCCAATGTTAAAAAGAGCTGCCGTCTTAGGACCTGAGGACTTTCAAAAATGTCTTCAAAGATGGTCTTGATTTGCTAGCCATATCTGTGATAACCTCTGAGTCCAGGACCTAAAAGTAGGTTTCATGGGTTCATTTCATCCATTTGAAGTTTGGGAAAGGAACAGTACGACCTCACTGCACACACAGGAATTGATCCCAGAATAACTATTAGCTGCCAGAGTGATCATGAAAACAAGGCCCTGAGAGGTGTTGGGAGCAATTCTCCTAGCAGAGTTTGGAAGGGACTAATACCATTGTCCTTGGCACTGGCAAGATACCTTTGGGGAACACTGCATACCACTCTGGTCATCTATATCGAAGAGAAATAAATAATAACGAAACTGGAGCAGAAAGTCGTTGCTAGGATGAGGGAGAGTGGAAAGTTAAGGGAGCTCAGCTAGCTTAGTGTAGCCAGACGATGGCTAAGGGGGACATTTCTGCCTGTAAGCACACAAAGGGTAAAAAAGGGGCAAATGCTGTGGAGTAGGAGCTATTTAAGGCCTATGCTGGCACAAGAGTAAATGGATACAGACTAGTCACAAATATATTTAGCATGAAAATCAGAATAAGGTTCTGGGAACAGCTTCCCGGTGGGAATAATGGTGGCAAAAGATCTTAAGATGAAACTTGATACATTTATGAAGGGAATTATATCATAAAGCATTCGCAAAGGCTGAAGGCTGCAGCAACCCAGGAAATCCCTCCACCTTATGTTCCAGTTTATTTTGAGCCCTTAAAGGCAAAGCATAGCATTTCACCCTCCTATTCCTCTCCCTGCTCTGGCCACCTGCAAACGGACTTCAGCACCTCCCCTAAAAGCTGTTTAAAGATCAAACAAGACACTGAATTTATCTTGCACTTTTAAATTCCTTTTTGCTATTCCTCAGAACACAGTGAGTTTTGTAAAATATTGCCTAACTTGTGCATGCAAAAATTATTATGTAATAAATCTTCTCATAGAGTACCATGTTCTATCCAATTTTTTCCTACTTGTGAGACTTGCTTATTAACCCCTTTCCCACAGCAACCAACCAGTAGGCAAGTGAGTGCTATTCTCCTCCAAGTTGCCCTGCTCAAACGTATCTGACAGCCATTACCTGGGTAATGCAATTACTAAGCAAAACACAGGGAGATTTCCCACTCGTGTTCCTGTGAAGGCCATCTTCACTGGAGTCTGACGGGTCTCGCAAGATACAAAGTCTCTTCAACAAGGTGTCTTTCCCTGACAGCCTCAAAAACATTTGAGGTGGACTTCTAAATTAAATCCAGGATCTGTTCTTTAGAGAGATACCTGCCCTGTTTATGTCACCTGCTTCTCATGGACAGAAGGGAAAAGGGGTGCATGGGCTCTCTTCTCCCCATCAGGCTGGTCCTTTCTATGGTGTCTCTTTTCTAGTTGTATAGGAAGTGGTTCCATTTTCCTTCTGTTTCTGTTCCTTGCAGATTTTGGAGACGTCCACCATCCTTTTATAAAACAAACCACTGCCTTCTCGCTCTCTCTACATGGGCTTCCTTGGAAGGTATGTTATCTTTGACTTCCTTGAGATATCCCTCACTTTACTTACTGGCCAACGAGAGAGCGACATGAAGATAGTATTTTTGAGGAAGGTTAATTTACAGATTTATTTGCCTACATTTCTTCAAACATATTGAATATGGTGAGTTCTCTTCTGATTCCTTAACAGTTGGAGCAGATGCTGATCGCCAGCAGATTCCATTCCTGATGCTTTACAGAAGTCATACATTCCAAGCTGCTTTAGCATTTTGTTTTGTATTACCTCAGCAGGGTAATATTTTACCTATTTGCAAACAAAAGGGAAAAAAAAAATATAAAAACCCCTCAAACATGCCTTACTGAACAATGAGAAAGATGGAAACTACTAACAAGAGACTGCGGCAAGCCTTTATATTCAGCAGCTCTGGCTGTGACAGGCTACCTGATGGTAATTTTCCTGAAAATCATTAAGACCAGCAATTCCCAAAAGTCTCAAAAGAGCTTTCAGCACAGAGTGTGAAGAACCTTGTCCAACGGGATTCAGCTGCTGAAGTTTTGAAGGAATTCAAAGGCTGGAGAGTTAGAGACAGAGCTCTGCCTGCCTCGTCAGGAGAACTGTGATCAGCGGGGGGGGGGGGGGGGGGGGGGAAGGAAGGGGAACAGAAAGCTGCACGGGAACAGCACGGGGGGCCAGCACGTCCCTTACCCCCCGCGTTCGGTCGCCGGCGGGCCTCACCGGGCGGCCCCCGCTCCCCGGGGCCGGGCGGCTGCAGGGGGCAGCAGGCCCTCGCAGTCCGGCGGCGGGCGGGAAGCGGCGCCCGGCCAGCCCGGTTGGCTCAGCTTCACGGTAAGGCCCGGGGTGGGGGGGGGGGGGAGCGCCGTCCTCTCACCCGCCGCGGGCCCCGAGCGCCGCACAGCCCGCAGGAGCGCCGAGGGCAGGAAGGGGCCCGCCTGCCGCCGCCCTCGGGGGTAGGAGCGGGGCGGGCAGGCGGCTCGGTGGCGACGGAAGGCGGCCCCGGTCCCGGTCCCGTCCCCGTCCCCAGCGCTCGGCCGCCGCTCCTCACCTCCACGGCCCCGCCGCTTCCGCCCGAGGCGGGAGGGGCAGCCGCGAGCGCCGCGGCGCGCCCACGTGACCCCGGTCGCAGCACCGCCGCGCAGCATCTCGCCGCGCCGCCTGTATCCCTCCGCCCGCCGCTTCCTCGCCCCCGCGGGGCGGCGGGAGCGGGAGGGGCGCGGCGCGGCGCGGCGGAGAGGAGGGAAGCGGGGGGGCGGGGGGGGCCGGCGTGGCGGCGGAGGGGGGAGGGAGGCGGCGCGGCGCGGCGGCTGTCCGTTTCGCCGGGGACTACTTTCTCGGGGCCGGCGGAGGTGCCGGGAGGGGGGCGGGGCGCGGCTGCCTCCCCCTCTCGGAAGCTGCAGCCATGATGGGAGTCTAACGCTGGCGCGGCGCTGCTGGGCGCGGAGCAGGCCGGGGGGGGGGATGAGCCAGGCCGCGCCGCCGGCCCGCACGCCCTGAGGAACCGCCGCCGCCCCCGCCGCCCCGCCGCGGAGCGCCCGCCCGGCGGCGCGGCCCCACCGCGCGGCTCCGGGCCCGCCGCCGCCGCCCCGGGCGGGGAGCGGAGCGGAGCGGGGCGGAGCGGGGCCGGGCCGGGGGGGCGCCCCGCGCCGCTGTCACCATTGCTGGGGCCCGGAGCGCCGGAGAGCTGCTCTCTCCGCCTCCGCCTCGCTCGCCTCAAAAACGGCGGCGGCGGCGGCACCCTCAGGGACTCGGCCCGGCTCCGGACCCTCTCTGCTCGGCCGCCGCCGCCGCTGCTGCTCCCGCACCGCTCGGCGCGGCAGGAGGAGGAGGAGGAGGGGGGGGCAGCAGCCGCCGCCGCCGGGAGCGGGGGGAGGCGGGCCCGCCTGGGGCTGAGCCGCCGGAGCAGCAGGCCCAGCGCCCGGGGCCGCCCGGTGCCCGCCGCCCCGCCGCTGCCTCCCGGCCCCGCGCCCCTCCGCCGCCGCCCGGCCCCTGCGCGCAGTCCCGGAGCGGCCCCCGGCTGCCAGACATGACCGCCATCATCAAAGAGATCGTCAGCAGGAACAAAAGGCGATACCAGGAGGATGGCTTCGACCTGGACCTGACCTGTATCCTCCCGCCGGGGACGGGGCCCGGCACCGGGGAGCTGCACGTACAGCTATTGCATCAGACCTGCGCGGCGGTTACCTAACGCGCTGCCGCTCCGCCGGGGCTCGCCCGGGCCTCCTCCTCCTCCTCCTCCTCCTCCTCCTCCTCCTCCTCCTCGGCCTCCTTTTGTCCGGGCGGCCGCCGAGCCGGGGCCTGCCAGCCGGGCAGATTAACGGCAGCACCACGACGGTGAGGATTAACGTTAGCGCTCCTCGGTGACTGCGGCCGGCCCGCCTGCCCGGTGCCGGCCCCGGCCCGGGGAGCCCCTGCCTGCTCCGGAGCAACGCGGGCCTGCTTCTTATCTCTGGCTCTGTTGATTTTTCGGCTCGCATAGCAAATACTGCCTGTCCCGCCGTGACTCACGTCCAGAGCACTTTTTTTTTTTTTTTCTTCTTTTTTTTTTTTTTCTTCCCTGTCGATTTAGTAACTCGTCTTGAATTGCAAATATAATCGTGGCAGGCCTATCGCTTTACTCGGGTTGCTTCAGTCTGCGCAGCGGGAGAGGCGAAGCCCGTGTCTTCTGCCCTGATTTTTCATACGTTCAGTAGGGCAGAGCTTGTGCACGGTCGCTGTATGGTGCAGCGGGGTTCTCGATGACGGGAGGTGTCAATCGCTTCTTCCAGATTAAAAAAAAAATACCTCTTTTCCTAACGTGATGCGTGAGCTGCGCTTTGGCACGATCTCCGATACAGTAAACACGAGGATGTGTTACAAACGAGAGCGCACTGGGTCTCGTCGAGGAGGATTTTGAGGAGTATCATTCTGGAATATGTAATTAGCATGCAATTACGACTGATGAGTTTGACCAGAGAGAAGCGTTGCTAGCGTATAGTTTTGGTGGCCTTCCGAACAGATGTGCTGTAGCAGCGACAGGCAGATGTTTGGCTTTGAACGCCTTGCAGAGTTAATGGTATGTAGGGGCCGTCCTGTGGGCATGGTTTTTCCCCATGGTGGACAAAGATCATTACTGTGAAAGGTTTTGAAGCAAGAACCCGACTTAAAAGTTGGAACTGTCCTAGGAAGAATGAATATTGACAGTCGTAGGCTCAGCCCTATAGAGTGAGTGCTTTCTGTTCTGCAGCAGGATCAGGGTGAAATTTATTGGGTTTTGGAGCAATTGCACTCATGTCAGAGCAAGTGTTGGTACAAATCCAGTTCTTGGGCAGGATCAAAACTGCTCACAGCTGTAACTATCACAGAGCTCATGCCGTTGCATTAAGTTTTGGCCTAAAATTTTGGTGGCTTTAAAGCAGCCTGAGAGGTTCTTGACTTTAGCAGGTGGCTGCTGAGCTTTTTGTTAAAAAGCAGCAGCTCTAGTACATACTTAATGCATTCTGTTGGTGGTACTGATAAAATATAATTTTAGGCCTGCATTTTTAAATGTTTGCACTCTGTTGTTTTGTTGGCCTGTGACTAGGACAGCTGTAATGCTGACATAGGCCAGCACTTACTGCTGACTTCATGACAGAAGTTGGAGTTAGATTTTTTTTTTTTTTTAATTCTCTGAGTGATGGGTTTGCCAGGAACTTTGGGGTTATGAAAAGAGTTAAGCAGTGGCAAAACCGACGAGGTTGTGGCTTTACAGTTGAAGAGTTTGGTGTTTCAGATATCTTTGCCCAGATGTACCATTGGTAGGGAGAGATTTTTTTTACCCAAACAGATCTTTTTAGTCATCTCCTCCCGGCAAGAACATTGGGGAATGTTGAACCTGGATTTTCTTGCTCAGGGCTGCTAATGCTATGCCAAATAGAGTTTATTGCTTATTTTTTACCTTTTTGTCTTGTTAATTTTATTCTTAGAATTTTGCATTAGAAGTAGGCCACTGAACACAGGGCTTAGGCTGGCTTTTCTAAAAGGAATAGCTGGCTTCAATTCTGTAATGAAATTTATAGAAAAGGTGTTTTTTTCATGATTGCAAAAATATATTTGGAAGAAGCTTATACTCGGTCTTTTTTTTTGTAGCTGCACATTTTGAACAGATAATTAATGAATGAAGACTGCTGCCTGTACAGTATAATGGCTTGGCTTTGAAGGCTGGCATTGCTGCAGACGTAAAAGTTTAATTTTTTATCACTTTGGACAGGCAACTTGGGAGATGTTCTTTTTGCAGGGCTCTGGAATTGTTGCTCATCATACCTGGTAGCTGGAAAATAATCAATTTACTTCTTACGTGCATGGACAGAGGACTAAGCCGGGAGTTAGCTCTCCAACCATGCGATGTTAGATGAAGAAAGAGAAAACTTGAAACCCAAGTGAACTGTTCGGGAAGGCGCGTGGTACATGGTAGGAGGACCAAGGTTTAAGTTCTCAAGGGTATTTCTCACCATGTGCTAGAGCTTAAAATTTTGAGACCAAAACAAGCTACCATCTGCACTACTGTTGGTTCGCTTTGCTTCCCTGCACACCCCTAATTGTGTGTCCTCTCTTAGAGATTACTGGTTACTTCAGGGTAGCTGCTTCTGTCAAGCTAAAAGAGAAAGCCTGATATGAGTTGGATAGCCCAGTGATTTGATCATTTAGTCAGGATATGGGAAACAGAGGTGTGAATTCCTCTTGCAGTAAGTATTTCTGTACTAGTAGTTCAGCGGTGTTGGCTGCAAAATACTCTGTAGCTGGTGACTACTATGTGGGCTTTGGGAGGTGGAGAATAACATGAATCTACAGTGAATCCCGGTGAGGTGCCTGATCGCCAGGCTATATTCTATGGTCTGTCTTGTCTTCTGTCCATCTTTGAGGGAAAGGTTTGTGTCTTGGTGTCCCAGGTGGACAAAGACTTGCAGCCTTTAATATTTCGGTCACGGCTGATTCAGAGCATCGCAGGGGACACCTGAGTGCCAAAAGGCAGGCTGGGTTAGGCACTGGAGTGCCAGAATCCCCTTCAAGGACCTCTTTTTTTTTTTTTTTTAACTCTATTGGACTGTGTCAAATCCTTCTAAAGCTGGCACTGATGTTTGTATGGTACAGTACCTCATGCTTGGGACTCTCAGATCCTGACGAGTTGGTTAGGAATTCTTTTTGTGTGGATAATGTAGGATTTTAGGAAAGGGAAATAGTGACTTCTCAAAATCAGGAGCTTTATGTACACAATATGAGAATAACCCAGTGTGCTAATTACGAAACAAGTGTCCTTAAAAAGACATATTGGCAATTACTTTTCATCTAATCAAATGTCCTTTTCTCTCTGCACAGCATTTTTCTGCACCTCCTGGAAAAAAAAATATAAATTTTACATTAGAAGAGGAAAGCGGCCTTTTAGTACTTTATTTCGGACATTGTATTTATTCCTGATTTATTTGGGTTTCTCTTTCATTTCTGTAGTGCTGGATACCTTTTGGTGCAAATGGGTGAGAAGGAAAGTTTGGATTAATGGCTTTCTTCTAAGATGGCTGCACTGTTTTATGAAGCAATGACCGGTATATCTTCTGAGGCACTATAATCTTTGGTATTTCGGGAATGGCGCAGCTTGGTTGTTGACCATTGTACTGCAGGGAACAGTGAAGAAGGAATACTTGGATGCAAGTCTTGAGCGTTGCATGGATTGCCCGTGTCTTAAGAAGTCCAGGCGTAAGTGAGGTTAGCGAGTGGCTTAACTATTTGGGACTAAAGTGGAAAAAAAAATCGTGTGACTGCTTTTTGTGCCCATTATACCTTTGGTTAAACTTTGTCTTGTATTTCCAGGCCTTCTGTTATGCATGGAAATGGCCATCTACCCTGAGCTTAAGGTAGAGCATGCCTACCCTGATGCTTAATTGAAGCATGTGTAGCTTGTGACCTACATAGTCATATAAACTGCAGCAATATTCCGTAAAGATTAGATGCTGGGTACAGTTTATTTACAAGTCTCACATGTAGTTTATTTCATATAATGAAAGTCAGAGAATGTTGAAATTGCGAGTGGAAGCTGCTTTGAATATCACACTGCTTTATGCTCTTTGCAGACCTAAAGCTCTTTGCATTTTTAATGAATTTTTATATTATGTGACTTCATTCAAAATGGCTCAGCTTCCAGGAAAAAAAATGAATTAGTGGCATGAGGTACATACTGTGTTTAAAAATAGAGCCCGAGTTGGAAATGCCATTCGTTTAAAGTATTTGGTTTCATGTTAAAATTGAAGTTTGTTAGATGTTCTGTAGCAAGTTCTTTCACACAAATGCAGTAAGGGCTGGTAAGGGGTTAGTAGAAACTAGAAGAAGCCAACCAGCAACACATTTTATTAGTGGAAAAGTATTTCTTTGTTCCAGAGTAAACCATGTTACTTAGCAGTGTTAAGAGTCCGACAGGCTCGTTTTGCTTCTGGAGCCTGGGATGATCTTGAGTTTTGGACAAGAAGATGAGTACCAGTTTTGCTCTGAATTCACCTGAGAAGTTTGTTTGAATAGACAGCAGTAAAATGGTGCTGGCTGGGGACTTCTCAGAGTTTGATTCAGTTACCTGTTTGCTGTAGGATGTATTTGATCCTGGGAAAACTGGTCTTTCTGCACTTATCAAGGATAAAGATTTTTGAATTGTCCAGATGGAGAAAGCAAGGTGGTGATAGATGCAAGTGTGTTCATGCATTTTTCTCTTCTGGGGCTAGAGACGTGCTGGATCACTTACTTTTCCTCACAACCAAAAAAAAACCCCACCCTTTTGACATATTGCCATAGTACGTGGATATTCGTGGATAGCGTTGTCTGACAGCTGAAGCCTACGCACAAAACTCCCATCATTCGAGCAAGTGCTCTGTTGTGCAACCCTTGCATCCATTCAGAATAACCCCAGCCCCTTTCCGCCTGGCTTTTTGACTACAGTTGCTCAGAAAGGGGTTTAAAAGATGCTTCACAAATTACAGCTCATCTCTTTGCGCCGCTTAAATGTAGCGCAGGCTACGAGCAGTCACGTACAAGTTCACAGGTATTGAACTACTTGATCTTGCATCATCAGAAATTTTTAATCGATGTGCAACATTGCTGGAGACTG